CATATAATACCAGGGGTTTCTTGCCAACGAAATGTTGAAAAAGGGGGTTCAGGAAAGGAAAGCGGAGCGAAAAGAGAAGGCGACGAGGGAACATACCGTGCTGTCAATGACCTCGTGGGCGCGCGCATTGTCGTAGATGTCGACGGTCACGCCTCTGAGGGCGGAGACCTTTGCTGAGAGCTCATCGAGACGGGCGTTGTTTTGGCGTTCGCGCTCGTAGGCTTCTGACATTTTGGCAGAGTTTTGTTTTTCTTTTCCTCTGGGAAATAGGGGTACGAAAGTTCTTCGATGAGACTTGATGAGAACCGGCGGTGGCAAAGTAAATCCCAGCACCCGAGTAGTGCGGGTTGTTTTCTGGGTGTCGTTCCTCGCCGCTGAGGCTTATGGCGAGTTGCCGCGCGTGCGAGATCGTCGGTCTCTGAAGGTAGTGTGTGATTGCAGTCGTTGAGAGACGACTATGCCACGATCTAACGCCGCACTTTTCTCGTAGATGCAATGAGCGTCCTCCTAGCGGTGACTGCTTCGCTAGAAGAGAAGAGGAGTCGGATGTGGTGCGCGATGGTTTGTGGTTGGTAGTTCGTGGTTCGTGAGGTTTGATGATGAAGTTGCAAAAATGGTCAATTCTGGCGGCGAAACCAATGACGGCGGAGGTTTCGGGGGCCGGTGCGTCTTTCCTCACAAAGGCGAGGCTGGAACTGCGCGGATGGAACTGGAGCTGGGTGGGCCACTGCCAGTCCCGTCAGCAGCAGGTGGTCACTGCGCGGCCGAGGCGTCCATCGCTGCTGCCCGCTGGTGTGGGCGCGCGCTGCTCGGAACGCCATCCTTGACGGTGGGGGTTGCGCGTCAGTGGTCTGCGCCACACTGGCGCCGAACCCGAACAGACAGAAGTTCAGAAGTACCCCGCGAATTACCTCACTCCGTCCAGGTCACGCCTCCTTTGCGCCGCCTCACCAGGGCAGCCAGAGCCCAGCTTACACCAAGCTCCCCCGGTCCATGGTCCGTGATTTCTCGAATTTTTGCTACGGCTATCCCAGCCCGGAGATAATGAAGGGGCATGTCACCTGGCACTCGAGAAGAAGTATTCATGATTTTAAAGCTTCTACCAGCTGAGATGACGCGCTCGAGTGGATATCGATGAATTATTGCGCTTCGTTTGTTTGATGAACCTGCGTCGTCCGATACGAGAGTTCGGCTGAAAAGCCATGAAAGCTTAAAAAGAAGCAGAAAGCAGGAAAGAAAACAACAATTGATGCCCATTCTCCTTCCTCCCGGAACACTTTCCATCCGCCAAGCCCAACGGGATTAATAAGATTAACAAGTCGTGCCTAATGAGACTAGGAGAAAAGCAAAGCAAAGCTCACGGCACATAGCAACCGACGAAGGAAAGAACTTTAGAAGAGGCGCAGGCCTCTCGGCGGCTCTCATCCTCACCTATCGCGGCACAACCCCACTAAATCGTTAATTACGTGGAGGTGGGTGCACGCAGCTACCTTACTGCGGGAACCGTGGACGAGGAAGGATCCCCAAGAAACCGTATCCGTAATACCTACTTGACCTACGGATACCTAATCGCAATCCCAGGCACACGCTTTCACCTTTCCGTGTCTTCCTTCCTTCTTTCCCTCTCTTCACCTCCAACCCTCGACACCTTTTTCACTCTTTCTTCCTCCCCGACCGAATCTGAGGAAACAACATCCGACTCAATCGTAATTCCTCTCTCTCGAGCCCTCGGTACACCGTCAGCATGGGCCTCCACAACCCGCTCCCGTCGTCTATGGCGTGTAAGTCCACCCATTATTTTTTTGGCTGGTGCCGGTGATCCCGCTGCACCATCGCACCCGTCATCCTGTTCAGTCGCAACAGATGAGCTGACCGAACCATGATAGCGGAATGCAAAAAGTGCGGCAAGATCCTGACGTCGTTTATCGACCCTCGTCAAGCCTTCAGCCCCGACAAGATCATTCCTCCCTCCGTCCTTGCCAACGCGAAGGTGAGCCATATTTCCCACCCCGCGATCTACCCATCCCCGCCTGCCTTGGCGCATTCGGTGCCCAGAGGCCTCCCACCGCTCACGACAACACCCCTCAAGCCGATACGATACTGACAGATAATGCGTGTAATTAGGGTCTCGCGATTCTCACCGTCCTTAAGGCCGGTTTTCTCGGTTCCGGCCGCTTCGGTAGCGGTCTCGTCGTTTCGCGACTTCCTGATGGATCATGGAGTGCGCCAAGCGCCATCGGTACGGCAGGTGCGGGATTTGGTGGACAGATTGGTTTTGAGTTGACCGACTTCGTCTTTATTCTGAACGATGCGAGTGCCGTCAAGACCTTCGCGCAGGCTGGTTCGCTTACGCTTGGTGGAAACGTTTCCATCGCCGCTGGTCCCGTGGGCCGCAACGCCGAGGCCGCCGGTGCCGCTTCCCTGAAGAGTGTTGCCGGTATATTCTCCTACTCCAAGACCAAGGGTCTTTTCGCCGGTGTTTCGCTGGAGGGTTCCGTGATCATCGAGCGCCGCGACGCCAACGAGAAGTTATACGGCACCCGCTACACCGCCGCCCAGATCTTGACCGGCAGCGTCCGCTCCCCGCCCCAGGCCGCGCCCCTGATGAACATCCTCAACTCCCGCGCCTTCAATGCCGGCCGCACCGGTCAGGCTAACGATTCCATGTACAACGACATTCCCGTTTACGATCAGGGCCAGGGCCAGGACGATTGGAACGGGAACAACAGCCGAGAGTTTGGAAACAACAACCGCAGCAGTGTGTTTGGTGGTGGAGATAGTGGCGCCAGCGAGTTTGGAGGACCCAAGAGATCCAGCACATGGCAGGACGATGTCTATGATAGACCTGCTGGAGGTGGTTTTGGTGGAGTTTCGCGTTCCAACACTGGAGTCTCACGCTCCAACACATTTGCTTCAAGAGGCAATGACGACTACGTCTACAGAGACAACCCGTCGCCCAGCTACGGCCTCAACGACCAAAAGACGGGTCCTCCTGGTAGACCGGCTGCTCCCAAGCCGAACTTCACTGGCAAGGCGGCCATGCTCAAGAAGAACGAGGCCGTTGCGCTGTTCACATTCGATGCCGACCAGCCTGGTGATCTAGGATTCAAGAAGGGCGACGTTATCACGGTGCTGAAGAAGACCGAGAGCGAGACTGACTGGTGGTATGTGAAAGGGTGTTTCTTTGTTTTACGGGTGTAAAGCTGACATTCACGACAGGACCGGCATGATCGGAACGAGACACGGCATCTTCCCCAGCAACTACGTGAAGATGCGTGAGTAAGCTGAATCGACGGCTCGAACGCAAACCTAGCGCAAACTCGAATACCCAAACGCTTTCCATTCAAAGCATGATCGAACTAAAATGCATACCTGATGCAGGTACAAAGGGGATAGTGGAGGAAAACAAACGTCACCGCAAGATCCTATTGCTTTTTCATGATACTCCGGATGGTCCTTTCCCATCCTGCTTTCCAACGACGTCTTTAATGATAACGACCAAACCTCGTTTTAACAAGTCCTGGCGTTTGGATCAATGAGGTGCGGGAAGAAATTTCTTCTGGTTTAATTGCCTCACAGCATAAACGTCCATTATAGGCCATAGGCTTTGGGAAAACGAAAAGAACATTCCGTCTTATGACATACTTCATTGCACCATCCGTATCCCCGCGTGACAAATCATTTATGTGACGAGGCAGTGGCACAGACGGGGTCAATGGTCGGACGCAAGTCCACTTGCGGACCGGACCGACTCTTTCGTCAATAGACCGACCTGCACCCATGCTGTCAAACGAGCCGAGGCAGTTCCAAGAACATCAAAACAACACAGGTCAACAGGTGAGTATCAGAACCATAATGTCAGGAAGGATCGACGCTTGCCGCTGGCCGACGGGTACGAAGCAGGGGCAACTTGTTTCAGTGGTCCTTGGGACGATCTGGGGAAAGCTTGTCGATGCGGGTTGAAACGTTGTTTCTGGAGCTGGTTCTTTGCTGAGTCAGGAGGTGACTAGCAGATCAACCTCACTCCTTCGCAGAACAATACTTGAGAGGATTGTTAGGCATTCAATCTTCACCGAGACTTCAAGAGCTGTCAATCAGTATCTATCTTGACTCGTACATTGCGGCTTGAGTAACCGAAGCAGCACATGTCAAGTACAGCATCAATAATTGGTTCAACTCAATTCAGCACGGGAGGTGGAGGCTGAGCGAAGAGACTTGCAGTCAAAGATAAGTTTGAGATTGGTAACTGGTTGACGGTTTAATAGCTTCTACATATTGGGATAGCCTGAATGCATAGCTCTCAAGACGCCCAAATAAACCCAGGTAAACATAAAAGTACTCTCAACTACCTTAAACGCTGCTACGAAATGTACCCTTCACGACTTCATGTATTGGCACAAGATGCTAACGCCCGTTGGTACGCTATCGAGGGATTATGTAGACCACCAAAGCTACTCGCCTGACGAAGAGGTCCAATGCCTGTATGCCAGGATGCCACATCAGCTAGCTTTCAACTCATCAACCGCAAACCGCGCTGATGCCTTGAATATGGTGCCTCGACGATCGTTCACGAAGCCGTGGCCTGCCCAGTACAGAACCGCAGTATCTCCTAATGATAGTATATCTCTCTTAAAGTGTGGGATAATCAATGTGACTCCAAGAGCAGCTCGTCGATCTCAACAAAGTCAGGGACATATCGCGGTCCAGATTCACGACGGGACCTGAATAGCGCTTGAATTAATAGGATGAGATAGATAATTCAACGTGAAGAGCGTGATAATACGTTGCCTGTTCGTGCTGATATAACAATCTCCAGACCAGTATTATTACTCGATACAGTTCGTCTATGCCTAATCCTTCTTGAACCCTTAGATAGCCCATCGAGTCAACAAAGTGAAAACAGCGCTCCAAGTAACAGCTTATAGCTCAACTTTGAACCTAGAAATACAAAGGAAAATGCTCAGACAAATAACATCTCTATAACAAAGGTATTGGTAGACTCAATCCAGTTGATGAGGTGCCCACAGGACCGACCCGGTTCCTTGGACGTGGTACCAGTTTTGTGTATCTTGGCTCCAAGTCCAGAATTCGTGGGATGGGTCCGATTCGAACTCTTGCTGCACCGGCCCGATGCGACTTTCAGACCTCGCCACAGCAGAGAAGTCTTTCAACCTTTCTGCAGAGAGGCTTTTCGACCTCTCCGTGGCAGCGGGCGAGTTCCTACCCGCCGCCGGCAAAGCCCCATTGATACATCCTGGTTGGCCTTCAGAAGTTGTACCCGTATGCGTCGTGTTGTTTGTTCGGGATGACAAGGAGCCGTTGGAACTGCTAGAGCCATAGTCTTGACGGCCGTAAGAGTCCGAAGTCGATATACTGCCAGTTGGCGGAGGGGCCGATAACCTCCGACGAGAAGAGGAATTGGTAAGAGACAATTCTTCCTTGGTCTCAAGGTCCATTCGTTCTGTGTTGATTGCGTATGGTAGTCTTCGAGGTGTTTCTTCTTTGTCGTCGGCGCATCTATCACTGGTCAATTCGTCTGCTGCTCTGAGAGGACTGTATGTAATGTATACAAGTGTTTATGTTGACGCACACACGGTAGGTTGTATGCTGTGGTAGAGAGCCATACGGTAGCTCGTGAATGTGGTTCGTGAATATTGGCTTAGATAGTGCGAGGCAAGTGAAATAGGGTCTCTGGAAATCAAGCTGGTTATGGAAAGAAAAGACTGATAGAAACTGGAGTTATAGAACGAAAGAATGACTACTCACCTCGCCTTGCTCTCGAACACATGCCTTCCATATTTATAGCGGTGGGGGTAAGTAAGGTCATCAACACCAAGCCTCTCTGATGATGCCTCAAGACTCGGCGTATACAATTCCGGAAAGTATGTATACCATGGCGACAGGGCTGGCAAAGGCTGCCTCGAAGAGGCCTAAACGTGAAAAAATGCTTCCTGATTCGCATAAGCACTTATCTGGCCAACACCGAGCGTACTTTGCCAATTCCTGATCAGCTTCGGATCTGCCCCGTGATGCTAGACGAGTATCACATCGGAAGGGATGATGCGCGGTACTTTTCAGCCCGCCCTGCATTCTCTGTTGGTCCTTCGCACACAGACGCACTGTCGGAGCAACCACATATCGAAGTCACTGCACGAGAGCTAACCCATGTCGAAACATCATCAAACCTATTGCGTACGTGGATCAATAGATTCGTAGTAGGGTAAGATCGGGGGTCTGGCGGTTAGGTGGGAACGTCAAGCGCCTTGAAAGTGCTAGCGGATGCCGTCCGTACCAAGACATCCTTCCCTAGCCGATTCGGTGAGGGGCATGGGACCGTTTTGTAATTACAATTTGGGTCGTACTTTGCAGGAGGAGCTGAAGTGTTCTTCCGGGGAAGAATTCCTGCTGATCCGCTTGACACGCTGCTGGGCTTTGGAATTTCGGACTTTCCGATGCTACGCCAAAATTGATGTCACATCAGCAATGCTGCTCGACCCGCGTAATGTAGGCAGAACTCTACTTATCAGTCAGCCTTCCGCTCCTCAAAACGAAGCCGACACAGGTCATAGTTAGCTTGGTCGCCTCCTTACCTGCTTGCCTTGGCTTCCCAGTGAGGGGCCCAATAGCACCTTGCATTGTCACCGAACAGCCTCGTACTTGAGATTCGTCGTAAGGCAACAGAGGAGGCGGAGTAGTTCGCCCAAAAGTGTGACCTTTCAGTCACTTCTCTGCAAAGTTGCAACCGAAAGCATAGCAATTGGCAACTTTCATTGCCTGAAATTCGCCACAGTGATCCCGCCGTCCTGCGCATCTATCAGGACTTAAGTGGCCAATACACCCACAAATTCCAATTGCAAAACTATCTGGACAGTGGCATTACTTGTGCACCCATCCTTGCTGAATCCAAATAACTGTCATTAAAGCCATCGTTGCTCTATTTTTATTTCATCTTTCAGGGCCTTTATCTTCAATTGCCGCTCAACAACGGACCTTAACTCCGCAAGGCTCATCAAGTACGACGGCAACAACGACTAAGCCAACGACAAAGCCAAGCCTACAACGACAAGTCGACGACACGAGAGCTACCACAAGTCGGCACAAGTTTTGTTGCCTATACATTCATGCACCTTGCAATCTCAGCCTAGGGGGGTGCACTCAGTTCCTTCCCTTTTGCTTTCAGCTTCCATTGCGAGCACAAGACTTTGGACCAACAGAACATTGTCGGCTACCCATAAATTTGACAAACTTGGTGCGGTATGCCTCCGATACTAAACGCGAATGGAGCAACAAATTCATCAACAGCTATTTCGAGCCATGTGTCAGACCAAGACGATGAAAGTCAAAATGACTTGGAGTCTTCCGATCCAGGCTTCAATACTCCCTACATATTCATCGCAAGAGACAGTCAGGGAGTATCTCATCGACGAGTGGCGATGCATGATATTGGTAGGACGCAGTCTGGTGTTACCCGCAAATTCGTTAAAGACTTGGGCTACACAACTCTACCTCTTCCACCGACAATACGTTGCCAGTCGCGAGAAACAGCCTATGGACTGCCTCTTTTCGAAGAATTCGTTTGTCTAGAAGTCTTCGGGACTCTGTCTGGTACATCAATCATTCACGTCGGAGTATTTGCCGATGAGCATCAACCGGACGGCCCCGACATCTTTGTCTGCCCCAAAACACAGCGAAAAGTGATCCGCATACATGGAATATCCATGGCATCTCAAGAAAGTCTGTGTCGGGACAATTCCTGCGAGGAAACACCCGCGAGTCTCAGCAAGCTGTCTCATGCACCGACCAAGGCGAAGGTTGAAATGGAAACCCAGCTGTTTCCCGCTACTTCTGTTAGCAGCTATCAAGATTGCGGACCCGCCCCGGGAACTCAAGGTTTAGAAGCCGTCGATGATGATATCTCGGGCGAGAACCAAGAGTCGATGCTAGATCTCCAGGACTTTCGCAGTGGGTTTGAAAGCGCTCCGGTCTTCACATCTCAGGGTCTACCTCAGTCTTCGTCACCGACATCAATTGAGTCATGGGGGACATCATCTTACTCAAAACAAGAACAGTCTGTTGATAGAGGAGAATTTGTATCACAAGAGCCCATTGAGAACTTGGAGTCGAGGGAGTAGGCGCCTGCAACATGCCATGTCTGTGTCGATACCCCTGACGTCTCCTAATGTTTGTTGCGTGAGTCAACAAGGTCGGAGTTTTGTAAGACTTAAGGTGTTTCGGTGTTTCGGTGTCCTGGTGTTCTGGTGTCCTGGTGTCCTGGTGTTTTGGTGTTCTGGCGTTTCCAATGTTCTTCATTGGCTTGCACAATCGTATTCGAACTAGTTATTTAGAGATCATTTCTTGGGTTCAACCTCTTCAGTATGCAGTGGACGGAGGGCGTGGAGAATAGCTCTCTGGCGTATTGCTAGACCTATGATATAATCATACATGCTGTGCTTGTTATCTCACAAAACCGTAGCGCTCCTTTTGGAGGCTCAGAGCTCGAAAGATCTCCACGGAGTTGAGGAGCAACTTGCCAACAGCATTGTACTTAGGAGTCAGTGTTAGACACCTCGTTTAGATACAGATATCTTTCATTAGGGTATCTATAGGATTGAAGACAGTACCCAAGCTTTGCAAACCAACGTATTTCCTAGTGCGTTCACGAGCTTTGGTGGCTCTGCATTTTCATAAGCGGACCAGTCATTGATAATGACATAAGTGCTAAGGCGGAGGTTGAAAGGCCTCCAGACGTGATTCAAGAGGCACAACAAAAGAATCCTCAAGCCCGAATATTCCATAGGTTTGAGGTCAAGAACATCTCAGGTCTTGGATTACAAGTTGCGATAGCATCAGCCGATAGCCAGACTAGACGAAACCTTTCAGCCTCCCAGATAAAACATCAGCTCCGACATCGCATAAGACCTAGTCCAATTCCTTCGGGCACCAGATTTTGCTCCCTGTCTTCGGATCTTCGTGATACCATAATTCCTCGTCCTGGCTCCAAGTCCAGAACTTGTGCGACGGATCTGCCATGAAATCCTTCAATGCCGCGCTGCCGTTCTCATCGAAGCAAAGTTCCGCCTTATTGCCTGTTCTTCTAGAAAGAGTTCCGCTAGACGACGGAAATCTCTGACTTTGCGAACCTGATTCCAGATCCATGTCGGTTACATTGTGGACAAAAGTCCAGTCATCCTCCACTTCTCCTTCCTCAGATGGCTGATATCGAGGCAACGGGTCTCTACAATTCTGAAGTTGTTCATCAATGTCATTGGACTTTGAGGCTTTGCACTTTGCTGTCTCGTAGCCTGAGTCTACAAGATACCCATTCGGGCTGAGGGGGTAGTTTACACGAGAGGAGCATTGATTGCTGCTGGAGAGGGTGTACTGAGTGCCCCCTGACAGAATGTCACTCCCACTGAAAGCTGTGGATCTAGAGAGAGTCGAGTACGACTGTTCCAAGGCCTCTGTGGAGTTTTTGTGACGAGATATCGATGTGTCGCTGTGTCTGTGAACCTGGACAGAGTTCTTCGCATCTACCTGAGAGGTGGCTCCGAAATGATGCCGCGCTGTGCGATGTTGGTATTTCCTGTCTGTTTGTGGTCAGCGGCCGAGATGTTCCTCAATTCTGTTTATCGAAGTACCTGACTGCATGATATATCAATTCGAGGGGGAAAGTGGTGAGCTAGGATCAAATTTTCTCGATGGCCAAGACAAGGAGGCGAATTGCACTACGGCGTGAATTCCGCTTGGGACAGGATCAAGCAGGTGTTCAAAATAAGCAGAGTTGGGTCTTCGATAAAGAAGTAGTGTCTGCAAAATGCCATAGAAGTACTGATCGCTTCAGGCGCTCTTTCTTCCGCAGAAAGAGCGGCGTAGTCTGCAAGTTGAATCATTTCTAGGCGCACTACCTTACTCTGAACGCATCGACAAATTTGAGGGTTGCAACATCGATTGGCCAATTCCGAAAGGCCGTTTACGGTAGGCCAAGGAGGAACTATTAGATAGGAGTCCACCGAGTTCTCGAAGAGTGCCAATTGCCGTCATGCGACCGGCGAACTGCAACAATGGAGTGTGTGAGAAAACAGCCCCAAACTCGCTCGCTAGGTATTCTTGGCCATTAGTCTGACGTGGCTTGCATGGGTTCAACTCAGCATTGGAATTTCCATTTCAGAAGAGGGGTAGAGCTGCATCTTGATGCAAGCAATATGTATGTCTCTGTCCAATCGTAGTTGGTTGTGCCGATGTCTTGTCATCTTTGAGGGCGGTCTATCGACAGCCTGCTCATTTCTCCACCCAAAGCAAGGTATGATGAACAGTCCTGAAGACAGTGGCTGAATAAACTGAACTTACGATGTCTAAAGGGGGTTATGAGAGGTCGGCTGCCATTGCCAGGGACAAGAAGTTTTTAGCCCTAGTTCAGCATGCTGATAACAGACGTCACGAAGAATGAGAGCTTCATCCACCTGGTCATAGAATCGAGCTTTTGTAGATCGATGTCAAGTTGGAGCAAGCCAGAAGTCATTCAACCGATACCCAAGAGGGGCATGTTCATTCGGTCATAATGAAGGAGGGCGTTCCCATCACTTGTCAACACCGTCTGGCCGCTACTGCGGCAGCAAGGGCTTGGGAATGGAACACATCCCCTCCATTTCGTTGCCTTGCTTTTGCCTTCTTATCCACCAGGCCCAGTTCCTTGTCCTTTGCCGGTACTCCATTCCAAAACAACTGCAGGTCTTCTCCAACGTACGCCCCGTCGCCCCGTCGCCCCGGAAAAGGTCGAAGGGAGCCTCGCCCCAGGGGGACCGATCAGATTGATGCTTGTACTTCGATCATAGAAGCAACCTGACCTTTGTATTGTAATTGTTCATCCGTCTCTGCCAATCCCAGAGCTGTCGGCATCCCTGGATGTGCCCCTCCCCCCCCCCTTACCCAGACGACTGAACGCCGCCTTTTACACTGCTCAGGTTTAATAATCTTCCCCCAGTAACGTCTTCCTGCCAATATGGTAGCTTGGATACTTCGTCTCGCAACCTATCTGGTAATCTTAGCATACAATCGATCTGTCGTCCATAGGAAAGCCTCCTACCTGGCCTCCTACCGGAGGTTACTCAAAACTGACCAACAGATATCAGTTCTTCTCTTTGAATCTTATTCTACAACATTGAGTCCTTGGTCATCCCCTTTGACGGTCTGGAGTCTGAACACGCTTACTTACCTTGTTTCCCACATCGTCTGCAAGTTAGTTAAAAGAATGCCGCTTTACGACGACGCGAAAACCATCAAGCCTAGAAGAAGCAGTCAACTTCAACAAAACAACTGGGGTTGGCCAAAGGGGCGTAAGGCGGAGTTGTGATAATGCGTGGGAATCTCCGTGTGGATGGGAGGTATGAACGAGTTCAGAGAAAACGCCCGCTGATATTGGCCGAACCACGCATACCCAAAGATGACAATGGGTTGTTACTTTCCGGAAAGGAAGTGATGGTCACTAGAGTCAGCAATTTAAAGGCCGGCCCGAAAGCTCAAGGCAAACATCGTACTGTCTCGAACAATAACCCTGTTCACAATCACCTCCATTCAGCACCCTCTCCGTCCTCTACGTCAGGTCTGAAGCATCGAAACTACAAGACGAACCCTTCGAGTGCGACTTCTTCGAACCAAAAGAGATACAAGGGCAAACCTGAGGGCATACCGAAGACGCAAGCTTCCAAACGGCCGAGCTCTTTGACGCCAGCGTTGGGGAATTCAACATCCCGCAGCCTGGAACCAGAAAATATTGCAAACCAAGACAAAAGGCTCGTATTGGACCCAATGCCGAGTTCCCATGATGGCTATGATAGCACTTCCCAGGAAGCCCTGCCTGCGTGGGAGCCAGCACAACCCCGACATCCTTCTCCCTATTTCAACTTCTCTTTGGCACTTCCTTATCAAGACCCTTCTCCATGGATACCGGCGATACAACTACACCGTGGTGTCCTGTCTCTGGAAATCTGTCAGCAAGACTCTACCAACCCCTACATGCCTGTCAACACTGTTTACGATTCGTCCTGTTCAGGTACCATCATCACTTACTCAGCCGCCTTAAGGATCGGGTTATTCGTCTTCCCGAAACCTCCTTCCGGTTTTGAGAATATCAGAACTCCTCATGGCTACTTCTACCCCGAGATGTTTGTAAAGGTATCTGCTCAAGTTTGCTGGCCTAAGAGAATCTCTTGTGGCATATGGAACATTGCCGTAGTGCCAGACGATTTCAAGAGGCCAGAAGGGGCAGAACTTATCGTCGGCGCCAAGACAATTGAGGCCATGAAGACGGCAGGGGTGGATGATGGACTATGCGATGCCGTTGATGTCCAGCAGAAACGGCTCTGCGTCTATCCGTGGAGCCATTCGGTTCCGTTTTCTAGTGAGAAAGGTGAGCTTTGCTCTTTGGCCAAACGAGTATTTCGACTAATGGAAGTAGTGCCAGGGCCAATGTCGTCGACCGAGCCTCTCCAACATGTTGGAGATCCCAACTTTCTGTGCCCCGACCCCTATCCTCCGGACCAATTATCAGCGAGCAGTACGCATAGCGGTGTGCAGTCTTACCCATCTACTGAGGTAGCCCCCAAAACTGTGACCTCGAAGACTTCATTCTCTGCAGGGCCACCCAACCAACTTCCAGAGCACAGCATGCAAGGACCAGGTGTTTCCCCCGGGCACGACATGTCAAGCTTCAATGCCAGCGCCAAGAGGAAAGAGAGAGAGACGTATGAGGATTCCTTCGGACATGTTGACTCTTCTCTGGCCCAAAATGGGTGCTCTATCGACCCCAGGCAAGCGACTCTTCGTAATCGTTCCGCCTATCATGGCAGTAGCGACACATCGTTTCGGTCAGGTGGTGGGCTACAACCGGGTCTCCAGAGCAGTCCTGGAAGCCTTTCCGGGTCGGTAATGACGATCGACCCCTCTCTCCCTGTCTTCCAGAAGAGTTCTGCCTTCTCTGTAGCATGCGCAGGGGACACTTTTGCGGGACAACCTTGGCCAGGGGACTGTGATGAGGGTCAACAACCTGGGTGAAAGGCACGCCGTCAATTCTCGATGGAAACATCCGCAGGATGTTACGAAATGAATATGGGTGTTTGATATCTTGATATGCTTGGTTGAACTTGAACTTCCATGCATGACAACCCCCTTGTCTCGCACAGTGTTGCCAACGTTCCGACAAACTGCGAGTGGCGTTCTACGTTCTCGATTGTTTGAAGGCATGCATAGCTCGTCTCTGCTATCGGCGGTGACATCGAGCGATTATCACTTTTGGATCTGTTATTCCACGAATGACCACCCTTGTCAAGCAGAAAGGCCTGTACTGGAACGAACTGATAATTGTTGTTCAACAGGCGGTATGACTCGTCATATCCAGTAGAATGTTTAGTTCTTGGAGGAACGTGTTTCTCTTGTCTGTATGACTTGTGGATGTTTTCTCCCTTAGTTTACTCCTCTTAATGCGATTCCCTTTGGTATACAGATCTTGCGGGAAGATATAAGCATACGAAGGAATCTTATCTGCTCATTTTAGGCACTAGTAGTTTGACGTGTAAACCTGATTTAATGAAGGACTTGCGATATATCAACGTCCCTTACCTGACTGCTGTTAGAGCAAGGTTGCTACGGCCCAAGTTCTACTCCGCCTCTCTAATAATACTCCTAATTACCTTAGGTTGCTCGTACCTTGGGGTGCCAACGGAATCGCCCAGAATCCAATGGGGTCTGTGTCCCTCCTCCCCCGCCGCCACTTCCGTAGGTATGGGAGCTGATTCCACCTGCACCAACGTACAACAACAGCAACACCACTCTGTAGAGCCCTAGCATTCAGTCTTACTGCATTTCCCAGACTGGTGAGCATATGAATCCTTACAATCTGTAAATAAAAGTTCCCTTGTTTACACTGGATCAACCACCCGAATACGAAGCCAATGAAACAGGTCTACTGTTGGCGGAAAGAACAAGCCATCTACACCAGAGAAATCGTTGTTGAATGATAACGAGAAACAAGGGGAAAGTGGGCTCTAATCAAGCTGACATGGTACCAAAAAAACCGCGCCCGTCGACTGTTCCACATGGCACCAGGTTTGTGCCTTCTGGTTCCAGGTCCAATAACCATGCGCTTCGTCTTCTTCAAAGTCTTTCTGGCTTTGACCCTTGCATGGAGATTCCTCTTCCCACACCAGATCCTGATTGGAAAACGCTGGGTCAATCTCCTGCTCTTCTTTCCTCTCTTCTGCACTAGTCAAACTGTAAGATTCGTCCAGAGAGCGACATCGTATCGATTGATGAACCCTGCCTGCCGGCAAACCCTCAGATGCGACGCTTGTGATTAGAGAATCTGAAGCCACGCGTAGCTCCAGGCTAGACAGACCATGACTTTGAGATGAGCCTCCTCCCGACGATTTGGTGCTTGAATATAGACTCGGATCTGATTTCGATCCTGAGAGCCCCTTATTTCTGCTCGATTTTTGAGTCTCATTGCCACTCATTTGGTCGTAAGTCTGGTGGTCACTGCTGGCTGGTTGAGGGTTTGCCGCAAAAGCGCTGGAACCTGTCAGCCAAAGTACTGCAGAGCATTTCAGGGCAATAGCTTACGGGTAGAAGTTCACACTCGTTCAGCGACGGATGATGATTATCCGGCTTTGGGCAGGTGATGTATCAGAAGCACAATGCACCGCCAGATCAAGTAAAATCAATGGGCATTCATTCCCTGGACAGTTGCAAGTCTATATATTAACGGTACGACAAGTAGGCAGAATGGCAATGCCCTCTGAAATTTGTTGGAAGCAGTAGTCTCAACGTCAGCAGTGTTACGACAACAGCCATAACATGCACTCGGTAGCCCCGGGCCTTCAGCAAGGCGGTTAGTGAGAATAACAGGACCTAGACATTACAGGCGAGAATCAGGGCCCCAATTGTGGCCAGCGGCTATAGTCTCTTTTGGTAGGCCACGGGATCCGGGGGGGGGGGGGCAGATTGACAAGGCGAAGTCCTTCGGGGTTCATGGATGGAGAAGCGCGTAGCCAAGCGCAGGAAGAAGATACCATGCATGTGCCATTGGCATTATCATGCATTTTCAGGGCGATCAAGTTGGAAGATTGATACGAGATCACCAAGAGGTCGCCTTTAGTACTTCAATGCAGACTACACAGTGTGCCACGTCCATCAGCCCGTAGTCCGCCTTGCGAAGCAACGTGCAGAAGCCTGATTGGGGCCTTTTGAGCTATTGGCCGTTATCCCCTCTTCAATTAGGGCGTTCAGTCAAACGCCACATCCCCAATGTTCCGCGATGCCCGCCTACCTTGACTTCAACGTCAGCCAGCAGGCTATTTTCCTCCTCATCGCGGATACTTGGGTATCTTGTAAATTCCAATACAGACCTACACTAGATGCGGGGTCAATCCTGGACCCTGTGATAAATCGTGTACCAGGACCGCGGGGTCTGCTTTGGGATTTTGAAATTTCACAGTTTCTATTGCCTCCAAGTAGCCGGAGCACCATAGTCAAACTTTCGCAAGCCCCAGACCACCGACTTGCTGCATAAAACCATATTTGATTGGATTGAACCATGAGCTGGCAAGCAAGTAACATTTATACTTCTGCAAGCTGTTGAGGTTATGGGTGGTCTCCGATAGATCAGGCAGCGGATGCCTCCTCGTTCGCGAACCACCCGCTTCTTCTGTGGTGCGAATATGGTTATATTACAACTAAGCCTTATTTCTCTAGCGCAGAGCCTTCCCGTTCGCCCTTTTGAATGTTCCGCTGCCCTTGGCCTACAACGGTGGCCCATTGCATCCAGCAGAGCCCGCTCTTTGTCTCGGATTTCGCCATTCCCGTCCTTTTCGTCGACCATCCCCAACGGCGTATGTAAACCCTCAATACAAAGACTCTACTTTTCCGAACCTTTATTGCCTCAAATCTTTATCAGCAGCCTTCGAGATCAAAAAGCAATAGTCAATGCGCGATTTAGCTTGAGAACACGCAGTTGCGGTTAATTCCCGGCGACGAAGGAAAGGCACCTTCCTCATACACACCGAACCGACATCTAAGTGGTAATACTGTGGCGCCCTCTTTCCCCGCGATACCCACCGCAGCCAGCCAAAGTCCACCATGCCCTCACACAGCGTACACTTCGAAAACCGCTTTTCCATGTCACCGACATCCAATAGACTCGATTATTTCGACTCGGATCATACAAAACTAGATGAAGTAGAAGTAGGAGCTTGCGAGTTGCTACCCACGATCAAGAGCACTCCCCTTTCCAAGATCGGAACATGCAGAAGTCAAGAAGCCAATTTTCAAATTTGCGAACGACCGCCTTTCGGCATTGAGAAGTCTGAACAGCCCATCACTGTGGAGGTGGCGGCGGCAAACAACGAAGACAACTTCACAGCCAAATCGGCCATTTACACCACTCTAGACCATTCGTACGTTTCTGCCGCAGCTGCAACTAGCCTAGGTCTACAGCGCATACCCATGCCAGCTTCCCTGAAGGCAATGCCTTATTATTCACCGTTCGGCTTATTGGAACCTACACACTTCGTTGCTATGCTCATACAAGGAAGCGAATTTTCTCGGTTTACTGCCAACATTGCCGTTCTTGACATGGCTCCTGAATGGCAGAACATCAGCATATTCCTCAGCACAGGGTTTCGCGGCAAGGCGAAGGCGGCGGGCAAAGCCTGCGGCCAGCGCCACCGGTCTGTCGACATAACACAGGCCATTTCTCGAGAAATTCAATTTGATGCGTCAGGGGAGGATCCTGCAACGATCTATCTTGACGTCAGACAGCAGGAAGGAGCACCGTTGGATCAGAGTTTACCTAGTCCGTATTCTGTGGGGCCGTCTGATACCGGTCGCCTGTATCCACCCGGCGCGGCTTTAGGACCGTCCCGATCTGTGAGCCGGGTCGAGATCGCCGGCTCGCCTGACACTCCTGTGGAAGCTCGGATATCATCACCTCCCACGTCTTTCGAACTAGATGAATTGTCTCGATGTTCTAGGGAAGCTCAAGGATATGGGAGATCGGGACGCATATCACAATACGGTCACGGAGCACCTCACGACAAGATGCAGCCCAAAGACGACATCGACTCTGCCAAACCGTATGCCGCGAATTGATTTCATGAGGTCATGTTTACCTTCACAAGATCAGACGATGTCTTAGACATGGCTTTCCGAAGGACTCAAATAACCTGCAAACTCACCTCATGGAAATCATCAACATCTCGTTTCCACCCTCGCTACCTGCCTCTGATTCATCATCGATAGCGATAATCCGAGCCCATTCTCCACGTGTATTTTATTCAAAATTCTTGTAAATGCTTTTCGAAACAGATTCGATGGGAACTTTAATGGGATAGAATACATCTGGCGTACCTACTCTTTTCACGGCTACATAAAATCGGCGGCAAACATGCAAGTCTAGAGGGATCACAGCAACTCATAAGCTTAAAGTATTGCATTCGAAGAATATAGTAAATCCAAACTTTGTTTTATGTTTCTTGCTGAACACAGAATTCGGGGCCCGCCAGCACCAGATATGTGAGCATGCTGACCCTTTGAGGATCTGAGCCATCAGATTTGATTATCATCTCGAAGCGATTTCGCAAAGCACTTGCGCGTAAATTTATGTGTTGATCAGTTGCCCTTTGGTTGGAGAGTCTGAGCCAGGATTATAACAAAGAAAACCAAGGTATAGTGGAATAATTACATGTAAATTACATTACTTGGTGGGCATCTATTTCTAATGTGTCCTCTATTCCTAAACATGCCCAGTTATTTCTTGTTTTCCCTTAAAATGAAGATATCATCCATAGATCCTCCTAGTTCAATAAAGTATGGCAATCTTCAGGCTACGCTGCTCTGCATAAATGCAGTGTATCTTGATGTTACTGCGAATAAGATAAAGAGTAGAGCTAATCCAGCATAGCAGGACAGGAAAGCGTAAGTCCTTCCTCATCCGTATGGCACCACTGTTCTGTAACTGAATTCCATTCCCAGTACTCGTGTGCTGGATCATTCTTGAACTCATCTACGGCTGGAATAGAACTCCAATTAAAGTCTTCGGCGCTGATGGGAGCTGGGCATGGGTTCGATGAAAGTGATTTTTGCTGAGAGTGCTCTTGATGTCCGCTGAGTGTGATCGGCAGTTGAGATCCGACAGCGGGATGATCATTATGACACTCCTCCGGGTCATTCTCGGTGGAAGCTCTTGCTTCTGATAAAATTGAGTTCTCAGTTTTGTTGTTCACGTTGGCCCGCTGTGCGGTCGACCGTCCATCGTCCTCAGGACTTACGCCATCATCAAAAATGGTAGAGGGTGTAGTCGCAATTGACAATGGGCAACCATAGCTGCACTGAACATCCTCAGAAAACTGAGTATTATAGCAGCTCAGATAACCAGAGGATATGGACCTTTTGGGCTGTCTTGGCCGTGAATGTGAATGCCTTGGTCGCCATGAGGCTTGACGGGGGTTACGCTTGGAGGAATTGGCGCTTCCCAAAGGTAGCCCGCTAGGTTTTCGGGCGATCGACGACGAAGTTGATCTAATAGCAAGAGGTTTTGTAACTAAAGTGACTGTCAGCAGAGCGCGTCTAGTGGAAACTGACAGTATGACTGAATACACACCTGTGGTCATGCTGGTAGGGCGTTACCCGTATTGAAGTGTTCGCAAGTGCGATCGGTAGGTGTTGGAACTTATGTCTTCATGCGCAGGTACTGATTTGAACGATTGACTGAGCCAACCATTTGCTCTAGTGCCTTGATGACACTCGGGGGTTGCTTGGAGTGTTGCTTCGGGAATACACGAGATAAAAAGGGCTGAAGAAGTGACCCTTATACATGTCCAGAAATGCTCTAATTTCCTGGATAATCTTGGACTCTTCACCACAGCTGAGAAAAAGTTCATTTAAATCTGCCTATTCAGCAATAGTGAAGCGATAAGAGTCAGGAATAGATCACGAGGTTGAAACGAAAGTCATTGCGTCGCCATGATGATTCTGTTCTCTCCGACCGGAAGCGGCGATAACCCTCATGGGGAGGAAGGAAAAATACGGCGAGAAACTTTGTAATTTTGTTTAAAATTTCAGCAATCTGCAGAGTTTTGCATACCAATTTACAATTGCGGTCAGCGGCACTTATTCGCGTCTATCATTCTTGCATCGGCTCTTACGAGTCGTGAGAGGAGGGGGCTTTGGGGGTGGCACTAGTAATCATTCAAACAGTCAAGGGGGTCAGTAGAGCCTGCTTTTGCGTTGCCCGGCATCAATAATGAGGCGTGCCAGCTCACCTATTCCCGGAAGAATGAGGGTGAGTGGAGCACCGATGTGTGTTGGATGCTTCAACGAGCAATGGTGGTTGCATGGTGGTCAGGGGGGAAGAACGCCTCTAGAGCTGCAGCAGTGACCGCCATATGCAGTCTTCAGCTCCCCCCTTCAAGTGTGTTCTGGCATAAGTCATAAGAAGTAAGGCATCCGTATGAGGCTACAACACCAAATTCATGACTGGAATTGTTTCGAGACGGATACCTCCATTAATATTTCATGATATAGCTTGAGGATTTTGGTAGGGCCGCCCCTCCCATCTTCAGCCTCTTCCTTCACCCCCCTGTCGAACCGGTCTATCCTCTTGGAAATCGGTGACAAGACCGATCCTGATTTGCACATCTGATTTCGGAAACGAGATTTGGCACTGATGACAGATGCCCCTCTGCTGCGGACTAGGCTTTCCAGACTTTTCGTGGTTTCTACCCCACCGCCCGCCTGCGCTCGCTGGCTGACCGACTCAACATCATGGGGAAGGGGGGGCATCCGCTCGGCTTCTTAAGCGCAAGTAAGACCCGTTTACAATGTAATTGTTCTTTGTAATTGCGCCATGATTGTTATTTCGTAGGCATCTGTAAAATCATAGAAGGTTGAATGTGTTGGCAGCCAAAGGCACCTGAGTCGAATGACGTGGTTGTCGACATACGCTTTCCTCATAGACCCAGTCTTCGCCTATCTCAATCTTTATTGTAGATATCATACTTGAATTCTCAAGTCTCAGCCTGACAGACCTTGCTCTATCTCAATTACTTATCGGCTTCGCCGACGTCTGCTCCTCCAATATCCGACTTCCTCTACTTTCTGTCATTTGCAGTTTCACTTGGAGGTTCTCACTCCTCCTCCACTAGGAGCGAGATACTCCTTCGTATGACTGCTTGTATTTATAAAGTCACCGAAGTCTACAAGTCACTACGACAAGCTTACCGAATAACTTAGTAGCGTCTCATCCCCCAGGATGAAGCTCCTAAGCCCCTGCGTCACCCTACCAAGCACCCCCTTTACAACTAGGGCCTTCTTGTAGAGTCAGAAAGCTCTACACATTATGCGTGGCAATTTCAAAGGCTCCCAAGCTTCTGATAAGCTATTCAGCGAAAGGCGGCGCCCTCTTACCAGACCTGAAGCCTCTTCACCTCCGCGCCCGCTCAATGAGCCCACCACTACCAACATAGGTGTCGGAAAAAATCGACTTAGCGAAAACCGAAAGAGACTACGTTCACAACAAGAACGCATCCCTCTTGCACCACGTCCTAAATATCGTAAAGGAGATCCTAAGGGGAAATTGAGGGGAACTGGTGTTTCGGACACCCCAAGACAAGTCCTCGGCGAATCCAAAGCTGCCCAGTCTTCGCTGCTTAACACAGCTCCGCAGCAGATACCGCCCAATCCAACTTTGCAAGACGAGAAATCTCTCCATAACGGCAACTTTAAGGACTTCCGTATTGAGCTCAAACCGCGAGGGGTTTCCTCTATCAGAACGCTTCTCAAAACTAACTACGATTCTGCCTGCCCAGAAACTCTTCTCGCCTACTCAGCCGCGAAACGGCTTGGCTTGGAGTTGATTCCGGGCCAGCCTGGAAAAGAGTATACGGTGTGTACCGCATTTGTTTATACTAAGACAAAGACTTTTGTCCGAGTGCACGTCAGAGTGCCAGGTTTTGAAGCTGTGCTCGGCGACTGCAATTTCGCCGTCGTCCCTGACGATGTACTTGGGCCGGTGCCATTCGACATAGTCGTCGGCAGGCGGCAGATTGATAGGCTGGTGACGGACTGTGGTCTATCTAGAGAGACCCTCAACGACATTGACTTCAACATTTTGCGTCAACGAATGTCGTGTCCTCTCAACTTGTCTGAATCCCTTGCGACGCTGGGTATGTGCTTACGACTCAACCATTCAGAACTAGAACTAAAGGCTATAGGAACGGCTCCCGTACCACCGAGAAACCTTGAACGCATGAGAACATCATCTGAGTTCTTGCAACCCCGCTACCAACAGCAAACGAACTCCTTTCCAAGCCAGCAGCCGAGCTACTACGCGCTCACTCCTTCCACAAGTGGTGCGCCACGACAGTCTACGCCAGGGACTTCCATATCGTTCGCCCACCAGCCATCTACAAGCAACAATTGGAAGCAGGATGACACAAACCTTGTTGCACCTAAAGGGCCTGACGACCTTCAAGATGATGTTGTCCTCAAGTTCGGCACTGCTGACTTTGATCTTGGCTTCTCGTTCAAACAGCCGTTGCGTGAAGACGCCGCGTCCGGTCCCTCGAAATCCCCGGCGTACTCTCCCAATGAACAACAGCAACTGGGGCACTTAGTAGTACTTGGTTCGTCGACAGATAACGGTTTTGAGACAACCACGCCAATGCTTCAAACTCAAACACCCCTCGGTGTACCAGAGGCCTCCGGCATGGCGGCCTGGACGCCTAACAAGACATTTCGTCGGCCTACTTCTCGAGTACCGACTGCATTACGAGAGCACCAGCTACCGCAAGTAATGGTGCAAGAAACTTTTGAGGAAACTATATACTCCCCACGCGCGGACCCTTCCTCAACCGATGTCTTAAGCCCTCGCTACCATAGTGAAGGTTAGATAGATCACCTGCACCAAAAGGCTGCATAAACATACGTTGCTCATGCTGGGCCATTTCCAGGTCCAGAGAGACCAAAGATGAAAAAAAAAACTTGAAAAGATGAACACAGAAGAGAAAAAAAGCGAAAAAAGAACAAACAATACAGAAAAAAAATCCTTAGTTGCAGCGTTTGTGTTGATGACGATGGAGGAACTTGAGCACACGCAAGGTCACGATGTACGACAGACTGTCGGATTTACTTGTTTGCTGTAATCTGTTTGCCTTGCTTTACGCTCTCTGAAACATATTGGACTTTGGGTACTTCGCCTTCAACTTTTCGTGTCTAGCATTACGGCATCAAAGGTTGCATGTGTATCGAGGCGGTGCTCACGTTGGAGGCAGGGTGTCTGTTTTATAGGGACGAGGATCGCTGTCCACTCACTCTTTCCTATGTCGATTTTGGATTGGTACGAGCAAGGCGTCTGAGTTGTTATTTGCCCTCTTGCAACGATACCATCAAAAATATACGTAGCGATCCTCACCCGAACGCCTGTGACTTGCGACTGATGATTACTCAAGCCGTGACACTCCTAATGTAAATGAAGCAGCTTCCAACAAGCTATTGGCCTACCCGGGTAGAAGTGGCAAGTCGCCTGAACTGTGTGAAAGGACAAGCATGCGCCAATGATTGAAGGCTTTGGGATTTCTCTTCCAACGTAAAAAAGATGGATGTTCTTGATGCAGCCATGTGTTAGCAGCTGTTTTGCCATCCGGATCATCTAGTATGCGCTGCTTCTCCATATGGATTTGATTCGACTGATCTGCTCAAGTCTAAGGAGCAGCGTTGGATGGTTCAAAATGGGAGAATCTTGGTTGTTGGCAATGGTGTCGGTATGCACCCAGACCAGAACGCTAAGACGGCATGTTCATGGGTTCAGCTTCGGACTATTGCAGCCCAGATGGATCCTCGTATCAAGCTCACGTGGCAAGACTCCCGCCGATTGCCCAAAACAAGGAGATCACTTTAATGGATTGGCAAAACACAGAGCCTGGGGTCCAGTCAGACGAACCAGGAGCGGCGCTTTTGCCTGCGATTCAGGTCACTTCGTCGCCCGCAGACGGTTGCAACAGTATCGACATTGGGCTCAGGGAGCCATGGTGCGTGGTGATAGTCGGACATTGTGTCGTTTGACCGTCAAATAACAAAGGTAAGTGATTGTAAAGAGGAAAAAGAAAAGGAAAGAAAACAAAACTGCGAAATCGGACAACAAGTTGGATGCGGCGGGTGGACCCACAGTCGAACCCAGGCAGGTACGGTCCCCTGTGGCTGCAGCGGGCCGCGTCGATCTCCCGCAAGCTTGTCAACCAACCTTCCTCACACTCCCTGGAGAAAGTCAAATCTCAAAGTCCCCATCACCCCCATTCCAGATACGCCACCATGGAACTAATTGAAACGGACATTCGCAAGACAACTCAAGACCCAGAAGAGCAGAGTCTCTTCCTCATCAACGCATGGCCCACTCTGGATGCAACGGATTCATCAAAAGACGACTTTGACAAACTCTCGGGCATCCACTGCATGGTGGTCCTGGTCCGGATGATCAACAGCATGCTTCCCGCCGAGGACAGAGAACAACGATCTACGTCACGGCGCAACGACGTCAACCCCTTCATGACGCGGACATGGCGCAATGCGCCGCAAAACCTCAAGAGCGACCCCTTTGTACGGATGATTAAGAAATGGGGGCCCCAATGCGAATCCCTCAAGTTTCGGAACCTCGTGCAGGCGGAGCGCATGAACTCGACCCTCTGGGCAAGGCATGATCAGGGCTTGTTCGACAAGATGATCTGGCACCCTGAACAAGGCGTTCGAGTAGACGCCACGTACGAAAACGACCTTCTCGATATTTCAGGGGCACCAAAGGACATTGCCGCAACAATTGAGTCGATGAGCTGTACGCTCGTCAACGACGGACCCGAGACGTTCTGCTACTTGCCGCGGATCTCCATGTACGCACGCTTCCTCTACACCCCCGACGCCGACAGGAGCGACGACGATGCCAAGGAACTACGATTCCTCACAATTCGGGACGAGCGTCCAGAGGCCGAGAACCCCACGCGATATGTCTTGTTTGTCGCTGTCCGACTCGGCACGGACGAGGAGGACGCTGACCGCATCCGTGTCTTTCGATGCGACGGCTCGCCGTACCCGCCGCCAGTTTCCGACGAGTACGCCAGACTTGACTGGAAAGTCGGCGCGCCAGGTCACACCTACTTTCTGCTGTATTGTAGGAGTGATTGGACCACAGACATTGCCGACAATGAAGTGTCCAGCCCTGATCCCGGATCGCAGTTGTTGCGGGAAAACACTTTACAAGTGTTCGGAGCGAGCTTGCAGCCAACACCGCAAGCCGTCCCCCGAACTGGGGCGGTCCCAACGCGCCTCCCAGCCGTCCTCCGAACTGGGGCGGTCCCGGTGCGCCCCCCCAACCGTCCCCCGAACCGGGGCGATCCCAACGCGCCTCCCAGCCGTCCCCCGAACTGGGGCGGTCCCGGTGCGCCTCCTGGCCCTACGTGGTCTCAGCAGCAGCAACAACAACAGCAGCAGCGGCCTCCGCCTCCTTATCAGAATCGAGACCCAGGCTCGTATGGCCCCCAGCAGCAACGACAGCAAGAGCCATCGTACAATTACGGAGGAGAGTTTGAAGACTACTATGATGACTACGACGACTATGACGACTATGACGATGGCCCTCGTGGACGCCCACAGCAGCAGCAACGCCCTGGCCCTACGTGGCAGCAGCAACACCGGCAAGAGCCGTCGTATGCGTATAGAAGAAACTACGACGACTACTATGACAGTGGTCCTCGCGGACAGCCGCAGCGGCAGCAACATCGTGGCCCAACGTGGCCCCAGCAACAACCGCCCCGGGGGGGTCAAGGTTACTACGGCTATAACAACTGATAGCACCTTGGGGTGAGCTGGCTTGACGGAGCGACGAAGACCTAGGAACCCTAGGTAGGAAATGAAGGGAGGGTGGGCGGGTTTTTTGGCCCAGATTTCAAGGAGCCTGGCCGTTACGTCGACTCGGCGGCAACTTCCATTTTGCAACTGCCAATGCAAAATCAACAACACAACAACATGGGGTCCAATCACCACAACCCTCCTGCAACCTGCCGCTCGTGGCAAGACGTGAACGAGCAGATGCGGCAATGGTACGACTCGGCCGAGTCTGTCGCATTTGCCTACATTGAAGCGCCCACCGCATCGGGCAAGAGCACCAGACTGGTCAACGACCTTGGACGAATTGCGGCAATATCGGCCAACAAGACGACTCGGGCTCTTTACAGTACCTCGACAGTTTCGAAAATGGCCCGAATTCAGCAGTGGCACGCACGGCAGCGCAACGACGCGGACAACGATCCAAAGATTGAGATAGTGGCGGATCCCACGGAAATGGTTGGAAAAGTCGTGCCAGACGAGGCGGCATGTCAGCTTGTCATCTTCGACTTGGACGAGGACTGGGGCATGGAGTTCACTGTTGCCATGCTGAGGTTGGCATCGGTGCTTCCGACTAAAGGCATGTTACGGATTGTGTGGCTGGCATCTGTAGCTTTCAGCGATGAGCTCAAACGTGCAATGCGACTATTCAACGAATACAACGGCTCGGCCATCACCACGCTCCAGCTTGTGTATGCGACTCGCAAGTTCAGCCTGGAAACAATCAAATGGGAATCGTACGAGGGGGAGGAATGGACGGACGAGTCGACGAGGCAGCTTACAACGAAGGTGATTGCAGACCACATGCTGCAGCTCCGTAGCGCAGCGGACTACCAGAGCGAAGTTGTATTGTTCGGGTCCGACGAAGGAAACGTCAACGACATGAAGCGCGCCATTGATGCGAGAATTCATTCCCACGTCCGAGGCTTCATGATGTCGCCGGACTCGATTCGGATCACACGACAGCGAATGGCCAAGGGCTTTGAGCCATGACTCGGCATGCGACACATCATCTTACAGGATACTGAAAACACAATCATCTGGGACGAGCAGTATCTGCAGTCTGTTCTGCACCGGACATCACCACCGGGCAGCGTACACAAGGCCCAGGCGGCATGCGCGTTTGCACACGATGCAAGGAACGTCACCGTCCATGCCTTGCTTTCGCCACGGGCGATCCTGAACCAGAAGCCACGCCGCAGATTCGAGGAGGAACACCTGGCCTCCTTTCTCTTAGTCGCACTCTCAACGGAAGGAATGACCTTGCAAAGGGCGCAACGCGCCTTCGCTTCCAATGGCCGAATCTGGAACCCGGCAATCAAGAGACTCCAGATATTGGGGTACCTGCACGAGACGGTTGACAGTCCCGTCAATTACAGAGTAGATGCCAGCGCCAGCACTGCCACTGTCGGTCTGATACATTTGACAGGATGGCATCTCTCGGCAGCCCACTTCTTGTCTTCCATCACCGGACTTGTGCCCGCCAACGCGCGATTGGTAATGTGCGAAATGGCCGCCATGAATCAGGCGTTCCACCAAGGCGATGCTTTGTTTTCTTATGACTTGGAAAGGCACAAAGATGAAGTGCTACGCGGCGAGCCCATCGAGGAAGAAATGGTTGGGCTACGAGACGAAGTGGATCACACGTTCCAGACACTCTTTCCGCGGGGGGCCTTTTGGGCTGCGGTCAGCTTGTACCGCGCGGCCAAGACGGCCATGGAGAAGGAGCCAGCACCTGTCTGGATGTCCAGAGACAAGAGAATAAGCATCTCTGAGCGCGCAGTACAGCTGGTGGCTCTGCGGAGCAACGTGATGCTCCGTGGGGTGAACGCCCGGCTCGGGTCATCAAGCGGACTTGCAGATGAGGAATTGAGGCCACGTGACATGTTTTTCATCGACAGGCAGTTCTTTCGTGCCTGGGTACACCGCTTGGTCCTGGTCAACAACCTGATCAACGACCTGGGCGAGCTCGACAACGATCCAGACATGTGCCTAGCTTGGTCGAGCCACTCCATGTCTCTGGTCCCAGGGGAGCCTCAAGGATTGTTCCTCTTCGACGCTACGCGTCAGGCTGAAGGCGGGCTGTTTTGTCTCATTGGAAATTGCCTCGTGAGGTCCAAAGGACAGACCAGTCTCTGCATGCCGAGGGCCTTCAATCTCCCAACAACCAGACCGTGGCTCGAGCACATGAATCTCACAATCGACACTCTGTCTGTCGGCTAGGCGGTGGAGGTTTGACAGGGGCGTAGACAGATAGACACGAAGACGGGGCAACGGCCCAACAATGGCCCAACGTGGCCATGGAAATAAGACAATAGATGTAGCAATACAGGATCACGGCAAGTGTGTGGACACATCTTCTCCTTCTCTTTTTGCAGAAACAAGTGATATGCGTGACTGCCTACCCGGGAAGGGGGGCCCCTTGCCGAAACGCACCTCCTTCCTTCCCATGTTAACCTGCCCAACACCGGGCAGAGCTTTTCGCCATCATAAACCGTCAACGTTCCTTCTGAACGTCTTCCACACCCACAAATCACAATTCTGCACAATGGCGAATTACAGCCCCTCTTCAAAGACCCCCCTGATGGACGGTGTCAGAGTAGACATGTTAAAGGTACTAGACCGCGGCGATTCGCTCTACGAGCTGACACTGTGCTTTCCCGATATCGCCAACGAGTTCATTGCGGCGGGCATGCCCAAGCAACCTGACTGTACGATAGCGCAGCTTCGGCTCGACCACGCCAGAGACTGGGAAACGACGGAGGTGTTGCACATCATACCGCGCGATCTCTTACGGTCCATTGTCAAAGGAACTGTGGCAATGGATTTCGGACCGAACCGGCCTCACGACTACGACGAGGACTCGAATGAGGCAGGCATCTACGTGATTGCCGTCAGTGTCGACGGCCGCGACGGCAAGTTTCTAGACTGGTCGGAACTTGGCGAACTGATTACGGCATTACAAACGTATGCCGATGCCTACACCATTCACAAGAGAGGCGCACCAAGGGGCATAGCGGAGTTGGTAAAAACGAGCATCGCGAAAGAGATCGACCTGGCTGTCAACGGACAGTGGACCCCTGCCAAGACGCGCTTCATTGGCAACGACACACAACATCAGCACGTCACGGCATTCATCGAGAACCTCCAACGGAAAAAGACGCCCATGTTCCCAGGGGTCGCTGAGGCGGCGATACACCAAGCACAATGCCCTCTTTATTTACGGCTTACATTACCCCTGGCTCGGAGGAAATCTATCGAGAACGAAGGAGACTATGGATATACATGCAGGGCCGGTGAACGACAGGCTGTCACAATGATATGTGCGTCGGTGTTCTGTTTTTAGTCCTCAAGGCGTGTTGCTTTCCGTCAATTCAATGTTGAGTAACTCCCCAGCATTCCGATGCCAGCATGGCATGCGTACCCTGGGAAGGGGGCTCATTTTGATGGTAGGGTGTCTGCTTTCTTTGGTCAAAGATCCCTATTCACTCGTTCGTTTCTTCTCATCTTTCCTATGTTGGTTTAATGGTGCAGACAAAGGCCCTCAGATTGTCACCTAATTGTGTCCTTACCACAATACATCGCGATACTCACATGATGACGCGATAAATTGAAAAACTACGCTGTGACGCTTCGGATGTGACTAAGGAATGTTTTCGCCTACTCGGGAAGAAGTTGAACACTATATAGCCTGTGTGAAACGACAGGTGTGCCTCGACGACTGAAGCTGTCGAGACTCTCATTTCAACCTTAGCGGCAGTGCTTCCATACGCCAAAAGCCCAAGGTCTAGCAGTTCAGGTTTCGCCATCCTTATTCCAAGAGTTCTGGTGTAAATGGTTTTCAGGCGGCCAAACACTGGAGCGCCTCGTAGAGCGTCGCAATACGTATTGGCTTCGTTCTCGGCAGTCGCGCCGGGGATGGGGATATCTATTAGATAAGTAATTACAGTAGGCTGACTCGAGATGGACGTGATGCTAACTCCTCGTATAGGTCTCTAGCCTTTGGGACTGCTCGTCTGGTTGGACGTGCTGCTGTGTCGTGGTCTTGGCGTCTACCTTCTTGCTGTTCGCGGCAACGGCTTGGAATGTTTCTCTTCTTTCCGTATTGACTTGCCAAGTTGAATATATATATATATATATATATATATATATATAAAGATATTGAACGATTCAATGACTTCCCTCCAAAGTGCTAGCTATCAAAAGTTCCGTGTTGATGTTGTGATGAGGAAAGGAAGGCGGCCAAAGTCGTGTAAGTGGAAGGACTGCATAGGGTCCTTCTAGAAAGGGACAGATGTGAATGAATCACCAGAGCCACGAACCAAAGTGGCCTGTTGAGTCTGGGGAGGCAGTAGTCTCGTGGAGGGACAATGATTATCTACTTCTCGCTTTCTCAAGAGAAGCTTCCTATATATAAGTAGCGCCCCGATGTTACGGCTTCTCGAGTCTCGGAGGGCTACTGTGACAGGAAACTCCGTGTTTAATTTCCTCTCAGTTGATAGTAAGTGCCTATGTGAGCTTGTTCCCTTGACGTACCGGATGATTTCCCGGGGATGCGTAGCCATTTTTCTTTCCCTTAGTATTTTGGGTTTCGAGGGGAGCAAGTAAGTATCAAAATAGAATACTAGTCAACAAGACAAACGATATTTTTATCCTCTTAGTCTATATCTCTACTGTCACTACTGTCACTACTATCACTACTGTCACTACTATCACTACTGTCACTGCTGTCACTACTGTCACTGCTGTTACTGCTGTTACTACTGTCACTACTGTCACTACTGTCACTATTGTTACTGCTGTCACTATTGTCACTGCTGTCACTGCTGTCACTACTGTCACTGCTGTCACTATTGTCACTGCTGTCACTGCTGTCACTACTGTCACTACTGTCACTACTATTTTATATATATTCACTAGAGAATACTCTTTAAAAAGTAAAGAACGCTGAATAGTAGGGAAAGAGCTGGAGTTAAAGGTGAAGTATTATCTTCCCATCGGACCCACATTTAGCACTTGCCTCCCAGGTCGTCTCGATGAGATATCTTGTTGTGATTTTTCTCTTCTTCTCACCCACTATTCTTTCCATTCAATTTCTCCAGTCAAAAACCCAAAAGTCATAAAATGGGCGACAGACCACCAGGAAACTGGCGAATGCCGAGGCATATGCCGAGGCCAATGCCACCACAGCATAACTCTCAAGCGACCAACGTCAGCCATCTGACAGAGATGAGCCTGGCCATTGCTACGCAAAACCGACAAAGTGCCGAGATCATTGAGCGCTTTTATGCCAACATGACCAACGAGTCACGACTATTCAATCGACGCGACAGTCGTCCCGAGTACAATAACGACTATGTCGAGCTTGACTACGACCCAAACGACCCCTACGGGACAAACAGCAACAACCAGGCCCTCTACGAGGGCGAAGGTAACAACCAGTCGGGAGCACCTAGAAGACCCAAGGACAAAAACCAATATGTCGAGTCCGACTTCAGCCCAAACAATCCATACGGGGCAGAGAACATCATCGAAGTCCCTGTTCAGGACTACCAAGCCCCTTACCAAGGCAATAATCAGACCCTCTACGAGGGCGAAGGCAACAACCAGTTCAGTCATGGAGACCATGCGGAAGGAAGCAACAACCAGACCCCTCCTCAGAACAACCAGGCCCCCAACGAGCCACAACGACGACAATGGCGCATTCGACGCGAGTATGTCGAGCCCCTCCCCGAGCCCGGCTTTGATGACGTCGACAACCCCTACGAGGCCGAGAACAACCAGGCACCCTACGAGGGCGGAGGCAACAACCAGACCCCCTACGGGGGCGGGGGCAGCAGCGAGGCTATAGCCCAAGCAGAGACAAGCAACCAAGGGAAAGAGCTGTTACCAAACATGAGAGAAAGAGAAAGAGATTCTCAAGACTCGCAGCCCCGCAACGACCGCAGTCGCTCGCCGCCACCGCAGCGAGAGAGAGAATGCCATCGCCCACGCGCGATGATACAGCCAAAGAAGCGACGAGGGTGAGACTCTCCGCAATGCATATGAGCAGCATGGCGAGAGGCCGGTGAGCAAGTGAGAGGAGGAAAGGACACAACGTGTCGGGGGTCACATCCTGTAGCAATAAATTGATGCATTTACCTTTTCTGTCTGCCGAGGTGAAGTGACAAGATTCACTCTTATAATCACCATAATATCACAGAAACAGCCCAGTGTGAAACGTTTTCGTAGAAGAAAGATCCTTTTCAAGTGCTTTCCAGGATGACGCTACAGCGGCAATCGTAAATGTGCTTTGTGCATCGACAACGACATCGGTAAGTCAACGTGTCCTCTAGTCCGTAAGTATCGTGGAAGCACAAGGAGGTCCAAGACGCGGTGGAGTTCACTATTTCGAATAATCCGAAAGCTTAGCTTGGCGGTATGTAGGAGGTGTTGGCGATGAATTAGCCAGCCAGGTGGCGCCTTTTGGAGGCCGCGAAGATGGCTGCCGTGGCTGAAGGAAAGCCTAATTGTGTAATCGCGAACACAAGGTATCTTAGCTAGGTATTTCTCAGATATGTATAGCCGTGCTTGCGCATGGTTTCTGAAAGAAAAAACTTCACCATCTATTTGACGACTACCATTTTACACTATCGTAGCCTCTCAGATTTCCGTCTTCCACATGAGTGGATAGGCAGGGACAGCGTTGCTCATGGCGATGTTTGACAATTTCGTCGTAACATAGACGGTTCAGCCGCGAATATACCGATACGGTGGACTGATCAGGCTGGGAAGGGATCTGTGGATCGGGATGAATGGCATGCAAAGAGGGGCCAGTGTACAGTATCACAATGAGCCTTAGTCAGAGCAACACAATTGGCCCTATTCGCGACCATGTCGAGCTCGAAATTCGTACTTTGAACCAGATTCTAGAGATATCCCAAGAATCCCTACTAGACCTGACACTCATGTCCTCATGCCAACTCCCCCTATTTAAACCTTGTAGAAGCAGAAAGCAGTGTAGAAGCTCGCCGCCTCCAACTCCTCTGGTGAAACAAGGAGACGTCCACCGCCACGTTCCCGAACCCCCATTCTCTCACTCAAAGGGCCCAAAGTCTCATCGTCCTTTTCCGCGTCCCAAATCTCCATAAAGGTCTTGTGGTACTGCAACTCAAGGTTGTAGTCTTCAGCAAGAGCTCTGAGGACTTCCCACGGCACAACATACTCGGGGACCTCTTCGACAGCTTCATCGAGGAAGAAGTTGTACTTCCAACCGAATGCCGGGCGGAAGACGCCATCTGCAGGCGTCTTGCCCGGGAATCGGACTCGATAAATGGAATTGCCCCACTCTGCCGACTGGTCTGCTTCGCCATCTTCCAATTCGCCTTCCTCTGCTTCTTGCGGCGGTTCCTCTGCGGCCTTCTTCTTTTTCTCTTCCTGTTGCTCGTTGAACTTGCGAACGTGGTCACCAAGGACGTCAGAGTTGGGGATGCAACCGATCAAGCGACCTCCCTTCTTCAATGAGCCTGCCACGTTGCGCAGCATGGTCCGGGCCTTCTGCTCCGTCTCGAAGGCATAGTGCATGCAAAACATCATGCTCACCACGTCGAATCCTCGTCGGCTGAGAGGACTGGTGTCGAATCCGACTTGTCTGATGATCTCAACGTCCTCGATGTTCTCGCCGTAGCAGTCCTTGACCTGGAAGCGTGCCTCGAAAAGCCGAGGAGGTGGCCGTCTGTATCCTCCTCTACCACCCCTGCCACCGCCTCCGCGGCTACCCATCTGGCGGTAACGCTCTCGAGCCTGGTCGATGCTAATATCCGCAGGATCGAGACCGACGTAGAGCTCTACTGATTGAGGTGCTTGCTGCCATTTGCCAAGGTCACCTCCCTTTCCACAACCGACGTCAAGCACGAGTAACTCCTTTGCGCCCGGCTCACGAGAGCCCGGGGTGTAGTCTTCATCTGGCGAGAACTTCTGAATGATGCAACTCTTGATCCAGTTGTTAAAGGCGCGCAGGCCCTTGATCTTGCTGTCGGTTCGTCTCCAGTCTCTACCGCGCTCTGGTACACTGTTGTAATGCTGCGTGACAACATCGTTGTTGGTGCCGCGCTGACGCTCAGCTGCAGCGTGGGCCGCAGCTTCCAACTCCTTCTCCCTGTCGAGTGCTCTCTGGCGGATGGCCTCTCTTTCAGACTCGGATATGCGAGCTCGGGCACCCGGTCGCTTCTGCTTGCGAGGCTGTTCGGAGGGAGAGACGGCTCGGCGCTTAGCGGGCTGAAGCTCCTTCGCATTGTAGGGTTGGGGAAGTTCATCGGTTCCATCCTCGCGCTTGTTGCCTCTTCGCGAGGAATTGCCGTTTCTCGAGGGCGATTGTGATCTTTTGCGTTTCTTCGCGTCGTATGAATGAGACTCTCGCTCGTACGAATCGTCGTCGTCGTAGCCCGCCATTGTCTCGAATCAGACGTGAGAATTCTTTGTTTGTAAAGGCAAATATTCTCGTCTCCCGGGGGAAGTGCAGGCTATTGTGTTTGTTTCCAGAATTTGATTGTGAAAGTACGGGTGTGAGAAAGTTGATGCGAACTGTTGGAGAGGAACAGAAGCTGCTGTTGCGAAGCGTCGCAAGAGGTAGGGGGAGTGTACTGGGGTACCTGCTGAGGAAGGTAAAACCCACCTATGGATTCATTAAAGGTACGGAAGGTGTGGTGTTAGAAACGAACGCTCTTTCTCAGCCTGGACCCAAAGAACAATATTAATGATTACTATGCTGTCTCCTCATATATGCTGCTTATGTTTGGATATAGCCAACTTGACATCTTGGAAATATTTTGAACCCAATTCGGCATTTCAACTAAGTAGGTAGGCGCAGTGCGGGCTGTCTCGTGCTTGCAGGCAGGTCCGGTACGTGTCGCACTGCAGCCTTGCTGGCTTGACTAAGCTCACCCCCGGCAGCAGACCAATCACGTCAGCCTCTGGCCAGACGCTTGCGGGTTGCAGGGGGCTTTCCTGAGCTCCCAGCTCCAAACACCACCATACAACGACATCACTCTTGCTCACCCAGTAACCCATCCCGCAGCCTCAACCTCTTTGATTTCTCCCCTCCCCAGCAACCGACCACGACCCTTTCCAGACGCCTTCGTACAATCAACCGCCAAGATGGGCTCAGAACCCCAGTACGCAAAGTACCCTCTCCTTCCTCTCGCCCAGCATGTCTTCGCCCTCACAAACGCCTACGCATCCCGGCCATCTCAACAATCCGCTGCGAAAGCTCTCAATGATGCCATCACCGAGCACAAGATGGCACCGCTCTACCGGTACCTCGCACACCCTCTTGAGGGTATTCTGAACCAAGTTGGCGAGGGTGGCAGTCAGACCCCCGGCAAGCCGCTGAGTCGGAAGTCGAGTCTGGCGGGCATGATTGCCACCAAGACCACCCCCACCGCAGTCAACCTACCCTGGGATGAGGCCAGGTACCAAGAGCTGAAGGCCGACAACGACAAGGAGTTGGAAGAGTTCCAAAAGGAAGAGGATGAGGCCGTTGAGAAGGCTGGTGAGACGGAGATTCAGGCCGCGCGGGGCAAGCGCGCGGAGTTCTGGGCCAGAGTCGGTGACAAGGTGCGATTGGAAGGACTGCCAACTCACCAAGGAAACCCTGACTGACCCCTTTGACAGGACCGGGCGATCGCCGCATACGAAGACGTTTTCGAGAAGACCGGCATCCTGGGCACCAAGATCGACTTGGTTCTCGCAATAATCCGCATGGGGCTCTTCTACGGCGACAAGCTTCTTGTCAAGAAGCATGTTGAGCGCGCAAAGACCCTGGTCGAGTCCGGTGGTGACTGGGATCGTCGCAACCGTCTCAAGGCGTACGAGGGCATCTACCTCTTGACCGTCCGGTCATACAACTTGGCCGCCCCGCTCCTGCTCGACAGCTTGTCCACCTTCACCAGCTACGAACTCTGCACCTACTCCTCCCTCGTCGTCTACTCCGTTCTCGCTGGATCTGTGTCCCTGAAGCGTGTCGACTTCAAGAGCAAGGTTGTCGACGCCCCCGAGATCAAGGCCATTCTGGGTGATGGAGAAGACAAGCTCCTCGCTCTGTCTGGTGCTCTCAGCGCCGGTCCCGGTGCCGACGACGCCATGCACGACGCACCGCCCGCCGCTGCCAAGACGGCGGTGAACCTGACAACTCTCGGAACAAGCACCGACCAGCCCGAGGCCGAGATGGCTATCGACTTCTCGCCTTTGGCTCAGCTTGTCTCCAGCCTGTACAACGGCCAGTACAAGTATTTCTTCCAGGCTCTCGCCCAGGTTGAGGAGTCGTTCCTCACCCAGGACCGCTACCTCCACGAGCACAAGAACTGGTTCATCCGTGAGATGCGTCTGCGCGCCTACCAGCAGCTCCTCCAGAGCTACCGTGTGGTTGGCCTGGAGACAATGGCGACCGACTTTGGCGTCACTGTTGACTTCCTGGACCGGTATGATTCTCTCCCTTTCAGCTGCATCGGTCAGATCAGACATCTAACTTCATCTCCAGTGACCTCGCCAAGTTCATCGCAGCGGGCCGCATCCCCTGCACAATCGACCGCGTCAGCGGTAAGGGCGTCATCGAGACCAACCGCCCCGACGACAAGAACAAGCAGTACCAGGACGTCGTCCGCCAGGGCGATCAGCTCATCACCAAGCTCCAGAAGTACGGCCAGGCTGTGCGTTTGAGAGGAAGCGAGCGGGCATAATCAGCCAAAGAGCGAGGCGACTGGAAGAATGACGGAGAGCTTTTTACCACAATGCTTTTACAATCGTGTGTCCTTTAGTCAGGCTTGGGGACTTTGAAAGGCGCGAGCTAGAAACGGCAGGCGGCGAATAGAAACCGGGGATTGGGGCAAGCAAATGTGTGCTACTGCAATAACTCTCTGTATGATACCTACGGATTAGACAAGCCAATTTGAGAAATCTTGGCTTGACCGAGGCCCACGTGAGATGACTGTGAAAGGTCTGGATGCAGAATTGATGGGAGCGGAATCTTTCTATTCTCGCAAGCTATGCTCATAAAGTGTCATCAACACCTGCCAAATCCCAGAGATCTTGCTAAAACAAACGAGATATCTACTCTACGTCTCGTACGTGCTCATCGATATCTGCTTTTATCCGCCCTGGATACGTGGTTCCGGAAAAAGACTACGCAAATTCGTTCGTTTCATACCTAGCTATTCCCAGCCGCGCTATCATCCAACGCGACAGGCCTCCTCGCACCTTCAAGGTCCCCGCACAAGAAAAATCGACTAGCTGCTGCACCAAACTCGCTTACCGGTACTTCTCAATGAAGTCCTTGTGGAAGTTGATGATGCGGCCGACCCAGTCGGTGCCGGGGGCGAGGAAAGTAGTGCGGAAGTGCAGGGTGCCCTCCTTTTGACCGAATCCGCTGCCGGGAACGACGCAGACGCCGGTGGCCTCGAGCATGCGCATGCAGTAGAACTCGTCGGCGGTGCGGCCCTCCTTCTGGGCAGCCTCGGTGGCCTTTGCGGGAAGCTTGATGGTGGGGAACAGGTACATGGAGCCCTGGGGCGCGCCGCACTCGACGCCCTCCATCTGGTCAAAGGCCTTGTGGAGGGCGGTAGCGCGCTCCTTGAGGCCGTTGAAGATGCCGTCGTACTCCTTCTTGTACAGCTCGTAGCTCGGCTCGCCCTCCTTGGGGGGGTTGACCATGAGCTCGACGATGCACTGGCCGATGACGGGAGCGCAGAGGGTGATGGAGACGAACTTGTAAATGTTGGCCTCGACCTCGGGGTCGAAGTTGACGAGCTCGAAGTACCCGCCGCGGTGACCGCACTCGCCAACCATACCCTTGGAGATGGAGTGCAGGGAAGCGAGTTCGACACCGTCGTACTTGCCAGGGGTCTCCTTCTGCAGCTTGCGCAGAACGCTCTTGAAGGAGTGGAACTTGCCAACGAAGACGTTGGTCTGGTAGACTTCGTCAGCCATCACCACAAGCTGCTTCTCCGCAGCGTAGTCGTAGACGGCGCGAATGTCATCCTCGGACAGGGAGGCACCGGTTGGGTTGCCGGGGTTGATAATGACGATAGCGCGGACATCGGTGCCTTCGGAGGTGGCCTTCTCGTAAGCAGCCTTGATGGTGTTCAGGTCGGTACCCCAGCCAGCGGCCTCGTCGAGGTAGTAGGGAACGCAGGTGGCGTTGAGAACTGATAGCGTTGCGGTGTAGAGAGGGTATTGAGGAATGGGCACAAGAACACCGCTTTGAGCGTTCTGGGCGATGATGTGAAGAAGGGTGTTGACTCCGGAAGAGGCACCGCCAGAGAGGTAAATGTGGGCGGGATCGGCGGGGAATCCGTCGCGGCCTGCAGAGATCTTTGTCAGTTTTCACACTCGGCCCAAGGTCAAGACAGATAAGGACATACGCTCGATAAACTTTGCAATGCTCTCCTTAATAGCGGGAACACCAGCACTGGCACTGTAGGCGCCAACAGAGCCGACCTTGCTCAAGAGGAACTTGGCGCGAGCGATGGCATCGCTCTTGTATCCGAGCTGGTTCTGCAGAACATCCTCGTGCTCGAGAAGCAGGGGGTTCTCGAGAAGACTGACAACCTGGCGGAAGAAGGTGATGGGCTTCTGGTCGAGCTGCTGGGGGTTGCCGATGTTGGCCGAGATAACGGCATCAAAGGGGAGGTCCTTGTCGCCCTTGGACAGCTTCGCTCGGTATTCCTCCGACTTCACGGCCAACTCGCCGCGAACGGCGTACTCGGCAGCAACAACATGCTGGTTGATGTTGTGCACATTCAGCCGACGGCTCGGTGTGGTAGACATGGTTCGATGGTGGGGTGACGAACGGCTGTTGCTGCTGCTGAAGAAAAGTTGCCTTTGAGATGGCGGGGTATTGGAGAGGAAGATCTTAGGGGACCGCGGGGTATCTGTGCAAGAGTCATATAAAAGTTAGTAAAAGGGCTTCTGCCGCGCAACAGTGGAGATCAAGGTAGAAAAACACCTGGACTCGGATCGATAACACGGGGAAGAGCCGAGCAAAGAAGAAAAGGAGTTGGAAATGCTTAGAGAAAAGGTAAGAAGGATGAGTCTCAAGAAAACCCTGAAAACGTACGCAGCCACCTCAAGTGCTATTTATTTAGCTCTTCGTCAACGAAGGGCAATCGACAAGCAACCAAGTCTCGTACGCGGGGGCCGTTACAACAGTGCGCAATGTTTAATTGATGGATTAAACGGAGAGAGGGAAGAAAAATACGGCAAAGTTGACAGGAAATCAGCGCATCTTCTTCCTGTCATCGTCCGATGCAGAAGCTCTTATTCAATAACTCTGACAGTCGCCAGCCTACTTAGGCTGGTACTGTGACCTCGGGGGCACGAGACATGACCCTGCGTGGCATCGTTTCTGTGCTGCCGCGGGATGGCTTCCATGACGGGCTGTGTTTGCCCCCTCCAGTGCGGGACGCCAGCCGAGCACTTGCTGGTGAGTCGTAGACGAAGACGTGGATCAGACCCGGTCGTGTTTGGCGCGGGTTTGCCTCAAAGGCCTGTGTCCGAAACCGGTGACGGCAGGACAAGGGGGAAGCCGGTCAGCGCGCCCAGAGGCTAGAGCTTCTACGGATTCTCCCGCCAGGGTATTTCCGAGTCCTCGACGCCTTGATGAAAAAACTCCAATTGCCTATGCCGCGGGAGAATGGAAAGTGTGGGGGTCCACGTGGGAGTAAAGCGCGCTTGATCGAACTTGAGAGCAAAATGACCAAGTGCCTTGTCCGTTTGTTCGGTGAAGGATGGCGAATAAAGAGACGTGGCGTACGGTGTAAGCTGGCGAGTGAAAACAGGTGGGGGAGGAAATCGTCAGGTAGCTTGGACGGGAGCTGTCCCGTTTGAGCGGTGCTGGACCAGCGAGCTTGGGACAGCTTCGAGGTGCACCAACCTTCCACTTTCAACGATACAGGAATAGTTTTTGGTTTGTGAACAGGGCTGGGAACAAACACCCATGTGAAGCAAACAGAATTTGTTGAAGCAGTTGGGAGCAAAATTCGCCCAGCATTGCGACGTACCATTTGATCTGCCTACGCTGCTCATCAATCGCACTTGGCTCGCGGCAGCCTGACTCTTCGGTGCTCCCAGCGACCTGGCCGCAGTGCAAGCCACTCTGTTCGCCGCCATCGTCGAACGTATTGTGCTGATCGGCTGGCGTATCAAATGTAGTTTTTCGTAGAGAGAATCGCCGCTTCGGTGTACGGTGTATTCGGTGAGTCGGTTGGTATTCTCCGTTACTGGAAATGCGAGACTCGAAAAGTGTCGAAGAAAGAGAATTCCACGACGAAACGCCGTCTGCTCTCGGCGGTATGGAGGCGGTCCCGGATCGTCAAGTACGTATCCCGTTTAGCTGAGAATGCGAAAAAAGGAAAGCAGTCGATTGACGGCGAAATGAAAGTCTCAGAACCACGACGCGGGAAAGTGCACGCCTTCCTGAACCACCACTCTCCATGAAAGCAGGCAGGACAGGAACAGAATGGGATGTCCTTTCCTCTTTATTTGTCTACCTATCCTGCCTGCTCACGCCAACTATTACGCCCTGCCCACCCTCCTCCTCACCATCCTGCCGCTGCTACTGCTGCTTTCTCCGGCCAAGGCCACGGCCCTACCCATCTGTTGAGAAACGCGACCCGAGCTGCGAGATAACCACTTTGCCCACACCCCTTCAAAGCCCGGCGTCGGCGGGCGAACCACCACTCGGGGGAGTCGGGGGTGGCTAGATATTCGCGATTAAACTGCGGGCTCGTCCTCAAGAAAAAAGGGCCGCGTGCAGGGAACGGCGCGCAAAGAAAAAGAAGAATCCCACCTAAGCTCCAGCAGCCCAAACCCAGAATGTCGTAGACCATCACCGTCCGAACATGGGAAAAGGCATCGTTGGCGGTGACGCTTCGTGCCCAGGTCCCTGCAAGCTCTAAAAACGTTGCTGGGCCCCCAACGGGGATAGAGCTATTGACCGAGAAAGGACCCTGAACGAGATCCACCAACCAACATCTCAGTTGCTCGGATTACGATCTCATAGACTTCTGACCGCGCAGCTTGACCGCTGGAGGCTGGCATAAGCCGAGCTGCAGTTCCATGGTACGGATACTCACGTTGCAAGGTGCTACAGTCTCTCAATCGGCCATGGTTCATTTAGCCCCTCTTTGCTTGGCTTCTTTCCAAGATGTATCACTTGACTAACATCACGTCGCAAAGTTCCTATTGATAGATATTCAAGGAGAAGTGAGTGAGACTAGTTTATCCACTGACAGGCGATCGAATGGGTGTCTCCTTGCCAGCTGGCACCATCTGGTGAGATCGAGCGATGCTGGAGTACACGTCCACTACACCGAAATCTCACCGACACACAGATCTCGGTGAACGGCCCTTTTTTCGCCGACAGTCTCTCACCACCCGCAAAATTCCAGTCTCCATACTGCGAAGCTATCCCGTCCACCCGTGTCCAAGCCTCAAGCTATCCAACGCGTGCGGCGCAAACTCCCCTTCAAGATGGCCAAGAAAGGTATGCAACCCCGCTGAACTTCATTCAAGCGCATTGCCTGCTTTCCTCCAAATCACCAAGCTAATTGATTGTGTCCAACAGCGAAGTCCCGTGTCATGATCGTCCGGCTCTTGTCCATGGCCGCGACTGGTTACTTCTACACTGTCAAGCGTCTCCGAACAGCAACACCCATGAGCTTGCTGAAATACGACCCAATCAGTATGCCGACCCCTTTCTCCTCGGTTCGACACACGTGGTGCTCGTCTCCAGGGCGAGCGCCAATCGATACATACCATGAGATGGAGATGGGGATAACAGGGCTAACGTATTCACAGTTCGGCGAAAGGTGCTTTTCTTGGAGCAGAAGAAGAAGGGGAAATGAGCCCGCGCACTCTCGAAATACCAACACCATATGTAACAACACTGATATCACCATAAACGGCGTTCACGGCGGCATACGATTGGGGCTCGAAGACCACATGGATGAACTGTACATCATCAACCTGCAGTCCCTCAGACCTATCGTCAGGGACAAGGCATTGGCACGTTGGACTGTGCCCCAGAGGCGGAAAGAAAGCGAAGGCTTCGATGGCCGCGACCTAGTTGTATATTCTATCAAAAGAGAACAAACCTTGCGTGAATGCAATGTTCCTCTGCATGATTCCACCCACATAAATATTCAGTCCACGTCCAAGAAAACCAACCTCGATGTATGATACTAAAGCTGCGGACCCTCCCTTAACCTGTGCCCTCATTCGACTTGGAAGCGCTTGGGAAGAAATGGTGGGAAACTTGATCATCATCCACGGTTACTGGAGCCACCCTATTGCCGTCTCTTTGGTTGCGCTCCGATGGTTCGGCCCGGAGACAGTCCTCATTATTGCTTCCCGCGGCCTGTGAAGTCTCCCGATTGTCTTCATTCTCGGTGAAGCATGGTTTGGACCGTTTCGAGCCTCGAGACCATTGCTGGGCGTTGCTAGATCTTTTGGTTCCGCGCTGCTCCGACAAGCTCGCTGGTCGGTCAAGTCTTTCCCATTGGTTAGGGTTGGTCAAATCGCCGAGGTTTGCCTCGCGGTTGCCCACAAGGCTGTTCTTGACACCCAAGATGGCCTCCTGACTGGACTTGGGGGCACTTTGCACGGGTCGGTTGTACGAAGAGTGTCCAGCATGGCGCGCGACCATGGTATCGTTACTTCCTTTCGATGCTTTTGCAACCGGAGTTCTCTGGGGGCGGAGGATCGATCTTATTTTGGATCCCTGAACGGCTACCTCCATTCGCTGCGACTTCTCCTGCTCGACTGATGGCGCAGGCATCTCATCTTCCGACTCTTCAACAGGACTGCGAAAAACCGTTCGCTTGCTGGCTCGGATCAGCGGCATGTCAGAGGAGCTCGGCTGAAAGTCGTTCAGAGGATCATAAACATCTTGCTGCAGCAACACAGGAAGCATTGGTTCCGGCAGCACAAGACTATCAGAGATGAGAATATCGTCGTTTCCCGCGGCATCTTGTCTGTCGAGTGTTTTTGCGAAGTCCTTACTGACCGCCGCGTATGCCTTGCCATTTGACCTGAGCTGCTTGACTTCTTCCTTCAGTATTTGGAGCTGGGCAAGCTGTTCGGCTACCTGATCAAGCTGGCCGTTGTTAGCAGCCAAGACCTGCGTATCGCGAAGCTTGAGTGTGAGATTGGTGACTCTTTGATGAGCATTCTCCAACTCCTTTTCGAGTTTCGATGCTCTGGTAACACTGTCCAAGGCCTTTAGGCGTTCAACCTCCGTCTCGGCCATTGCCAACTGTTGCTGAGCCTGGTGCAGAGATTCTTCCGAGCTCTTCAGCCGTGTTTGGGTTTCTTTATCTTCCTCGGACCTTTTTGCGAGATTCTTCTCCGTCTCTTCGGCTAGCTGTCGTTGCAGATGGCCACTTTCCTCGGCAATCCGTAACTTCTCCTGAAGCTCTCGGATCTTGGTCTCGTGCCCTTGTCGCTGGAGCTGAAGCTCAGTCTGCGTCTCTGCGACCTGATAATCCTTGCTTGAGAGGCTTTGCTGTAACTCTCGGAGCCTTTCTTCCATGATTGTTGCCCTCTTTGATGCCAACTCTGCAGAGTCTCTCGCCTCTCGTGGTTTTTGACTAAGTTCAGAAACACAGTTGGACATATCTGCGATTTCAGCATCCTTGGCCAGAAGATCCTGTGCAAGTTTGCTGTTCTCGTCCTTTCTCTCCGAAAGTTGTAGCATCAACTGTTCCTGACGATGTTCGCGCTCCGCCTCCGTCGATAACGACTGTTTCTGGAGCGTCTCCTGTAGACTTTGCAGTCTTTCTTCGATGGACTGACCAGTCATAGTTGATTTCAACTCCTCCAAAAGTCTGGACATACGTCAGCTAAGAAGTCAGAACACATCAGCGGGCACCTACTGTGGCATCATTTCCTTTTGAAAGGTCTCTAAAGCTCGCTGAAGCTCATCTTCTACGTTGACTTGAGGGAAACATTGCACGTGGCCCGCAATTTCGTCCAACCTGCAAAAGTTGGTTACATACGGACGACACGAGGGCAATTGGAGAGTACCTTCTCATGACCTCGGTTGGCACAGCGGGCGCTTCGAGAGAGCGCGCTTGCATATTGCCCACCTCCGAGCAGACTCCAGCCACATTCTCATCGATCTGGCGCAGCAGACCCTTCAAGGCATCCGCGTCGAGGAGCTTTCCCTCCAACTTCTTGGCTCTCTGTGCCTCAAAATCGTAATCTTTCTCAAGATTGTCTAGGGCTAACGTCAAGTCTCTAATCTTTGATGCCGCTTCTCAATGTCAGTTCAGCGACCTTAGTCTTCGAATCGAATCTGCTTACCCGCTGTCACTTCCTGCTGGAGAAGTACCTGCTTGTGTTTGGAAATGAGATTCAACTTATCCTGGGCAGCCTGTTTCTCTGCCATGGCCAACTTGAACTTCTCTTCCGCCTCTTGATGCTCCTTTCTCATGCTATTGATGGTGTTTTCGGTGATATCTCTCGAATTTTGCCAGAGTTGTTGGTGTTCTGCAACAGCCTTATTGAGGTGATCCTTGTACGAGCGGCTTTTCTCTTGAAACTTGTCGAGCTTCGAATGTGTGACCTCCAGCTCTTGGTGCAATCTAGTCGCTTCTTTGTCTTGCGTTTCTCTCTCAGCTTGCAGATCGGCCACTTTCCGTTCTAGTTCATGCAGTCGTCCGCCTTGTTGAGCTAGATTCTGGGAGAGCTCGTCCTTTTGATGTTGTAAAAGAGAAAGCTCTGAGTTCGACTGCACCCGGCGGTCGCAGTCTTTCTGATAACGTGCTTGATACTGCTGTAACCGAGTCTCCAGTTCTTCGATCTGCTGCTTCTGGCCCAGGAGACGGCTATTCATCTTGTGCTCAACTTCTTTTGAGTAGCTGAGAACTTTGTTGTAGTGAGCCGACATACTTTCGAGTGCTTCATAGTGGCTCTCTGCCGTAACCTGCTGGTTCTCCAAGCCTGAGTTGGCCTTTTCCTGACTCGGTTTGCCGTGTTGTGATTGGCGGTGGGAGTGCTTGCGACGCCGAGAAGTATTTGAGAGACGCGATTTCGTACGTTGCGGAACATCTCTGGCATCTTGGTCGCGCCTGATACGTCGAATTGACTGCTCTCTAGGCCAAGAGTGCTGTCGTTTCGACTTGCGAGCAGAACCAGGAGTTTGTTTCTGTGGCATTTCCAAGTCGCCAACTGGAGTAGACGACCGAATCTCAACTGTCTCGTGATGCTGTCTTTGAACTCGGGCTATCTGACGAGGCATCACACGATCATCATCGACGGGTTTGCTAATTTCGGAGAGGCGTGGTTCCAAGTCTCGATCTGAAACCACACATTGCTGTTGTTCGCCTTCATTTTCTCCCCGAGAACCGTGCCGCTGTGAAGGAATACCCCTATCAGTAGCCGTTTGTTCAAGTGCAGGCTGCAGAGTCTCCCATTGATCGCAGGGAAGAATGGCATCGGCATCAGCAAAGGGTCGAATACTGCGGTCCTCGATAGCAGAACCATTTATTTTCTGCTCGGCCTGGACAGAGGGGCGTCTCGAGACCGACATTCCAGCTGTATCTCTCTCAGAGCTGGTAGTCATCTGATCTGAGAGGCCTCGGCCCGGTAGCTGACCGTGGCTACTCGATTGCTCAGGGTCGAATTCTGCAGCCCTCAAGCGTTGAAAAGGAGTCCCCCTTCGTCCTTGATCACTTCGAGAGATAGCAGCTGGCATATTGTTTGCATGGGTGTTGACGTCGTTGTAGTGGTGACTATTATCGTCTATCAAAGCTGGCTGATCCTGGGGCTGGGTAGGTCGTACGTTGCCGGCATCTGCCCAGTCCTCTTGAGGCACTGCATCTTGCCGCCCACTGAGGGCACTGAAATTGATGGATCGACGCTGCTGGTGGCCAGAAAACTGATTCGGCTTGTACTTGGGCTGTGGTGCGAAGACGAACGTATCAATCCCCCCAACAAGTTCTGTGTCTTCTTCAGGATGATATGAAGGGTTGCTCCGGTGGCCGCGTGTCTGAGATACATGATACTGTTCGTTCCCATCATCTTGGATGACGTGCTTGACTTTCGGCTGCGAGGTTCTCAGCTGGCTGAGCAATGACGGTTGGGACTCCGCACTTGAGGGAGAGTCTTCGGCCTGGGAACCGTCCTCAGGACAGTGATATGGGCTGCATCCTTTCGAACGGGGGTTGGAACTGAGCCTAGCGTGTCGGAATATGCCACCATTTTCTGACAGAGGGTCGGGGCTGGATTTGTTGGCCATGGTATGGAAGAGGCCAGAGGCCGTAGTAGCTACTACAACCACAAGCTGTGGTCAATATCTAGAGTCTCTGGTCCAAGACAGCAAAATTGAGCAGAGAGCCAATCTGGACGAGGAAAAGTGACGACAACTAGGAGGACTAGGAGAGACAAGAAACGGAGGCAACAACTCTGTCAGACTCAGCGGGCTATGAGAATTGAACTTGAGGACGAAACGATCGACACACCACGACCTAATGAGATGGATCTCCAGAACGGGGAGGTATTTCGAAGGTTACCTGCCGCGCCACAACTGCTGATGGGGTTTTGGTAATCGCAAGGCATAGAACTTAATGGTTCCTTTCTGGGATGCAGAAAGAGCTTTCGTCCTTTGAGATCAGGAAAGCAATGGCTAAAAACAATGTGGCAACAGCCGCCCTCTATCATCGATTGGAAGGAACGACGCTTCTCGAGCAACTGATCAAGGTACCTGCCTTAGCTACCTGCATTCGGCCGCCTCTGCCTTCCAGATGCGTGTGTCCTTCCTTTCCGTTGACGGACTATGCTGCTCATACGATGTTTCTTTCTCTGGTGAACAAGAAATCCCCGGTTTGTGACCAGTTCAGTGCAGCTTGCGGGTATTAGATGACTAGACCCCTCGTCTCCAAGACCATTTCGGCATATAATGAAAAAACATTCACCGTTTACACATGATAAAAGCTTCCCATGTTCTACCTGTGTCGGCCGACGAGATTTAAAGGCGTGGAACAGTGGTTGGTGTAAGTGAGAAACAAGATAAATTGCCTGACAAATTTGCTGAGTTGATGAAGGGATGGTAGTTAAGAGGCAGTAGCAATACCAATCACTCGATCTTGCTTCAGGCATCCAGATCAGGACGGTAGTAAGTAGTGGAAAACACCAATCTATCAGCACATCTGTATTGAAGTAGCATCAACCCGATATCCAAAAGAAGTAGAAGAACGTATCGCAGCGAGGACCCTCCTTAGGCAGTCGCCGGTTTCAGGACACTTTCCTGTTATCTCTCCGCGTCAGCAATGGCAGTTTCCGGGACGGCCTTTAACCGTGGCTTCTCTATGCGTTCCATGGCCACCGGGAGAGGAGACCGCTTGACCTCCAGCCGTGCAGGTACGACCTTCCTCTGATACGACCTGCTGACAGGTCACGCCAGCTCCGGCAACAACCTCTCCGCGATGACAAACCGAGAAAGATGCGTAAAGTGATCCGAGAAATCAGCCTGGAGGTCAAGGCAGTCGCCCCCAAATTTAGAAATTCCCAAGGAAAAGCCAAGCAATGCCAAAAGGATCTCCACCGAGGAAACGACATGAGTGATAAGCGGGAAGGACAGCAGGCGGCAAGTGATACCTCCAAGGCATCATCGTCGGAATAGAGGTGGCCCGCGCTTGATCGGGGAAAGACCAAAATCTGCTTGTACCACTCGGCTCTCCCGCTTCTTGGTCCTACAACGAACATGTTCTGCTTCTCTTGTCAGCAGGAGGGAAAGAAGTGACGGTGACGAATCGTGCAGATGGCATCACAGATAGAGCGGGAGGCCATAGGAAAGCATATCTCTCAAGACGCAGGCCATTCGAATCAGCTCCAGATGCGCGCCATCACACCGCAGGATCGTCATGTCAACGGAGAATGCGAGAACCCCTCCCTCATCACACAATTAAGCTCGTCGATATTACATCCACTACCGGCGACAGTTAACCTCTCAAAAACCGATCTCGAGTGACTGACTCCGGCCGCGCACACATGCAATGCAAATAAGAAATGCAGCTCAAAAGATACACTAACACAATACCTTAGGTAGGATTGTGACGGGACGCAGTTCGACCCCTGCGCCTCACCAAATTCGTCCGAGCCGCCCATCCCAGGCTCCCCCCGCTGATTGGCCAACCACATCCCGGCCCCGATGTGAAAGCGCCGTGTGCCGGCGCTTCGAGGTCGCTCAACGCCAATGGGAACGTCGCGAGCCTATTTCGACCGTCCCCTGGGCTCAAACGAGGTTGTCCTCTCTTTTGAAAGTCTTGGGCGTCCCCACGGTCTTGAACAAGGTGCTTCGATACGGTTCCTGCGCCCCGGACGTGGGTCTTTGGACCACACGCACACCCTGGCCGACGTGCTATCGTGCGTGCTCGCAAGTGCCGTGTGTGAAATGCTATGTATGCACTTGCACGGGGGTGTTGTGAGGGCCCTTCGCTTCGTCAGTCACATCACTCTAAGTGGTTGCTCCCTCTGTATGGCTGCTTGCAGATGGGGTGAAAAGGGGAGGGGGATGGAGTAAACGATTGGCGCTGGGCTCCCCCATGTGAGAAAATAATGCTCTGGGCGCTTGAACAATGTAAATAGTGAGTTGGGCCACATTCGTGGCGCCGGGTATCCTTTCGATTTTTGTTCAGCTTCTTTATTCTACCTTACTCATACGATTCTGACGCCGTTTTCTCTCTCTCGTTCGGTAGTCTTCCCACCTTGCCTGGCTGTGCCTCTCTAAGAACTTTTCCAACATCCTTCCAAATCACCGTCTTCACCGTTGCCCCTCTGCGAGTGGCACCCCGACCTCCAACCAAGATGGCGACCACAACCTCCAACTTCTTTCCTCTGGCGACCGAAACCTATTATCCAGACTCTCCTGGAGACGCCAGTTCATCTGGAAATGGTGTCGATACCGAGGCAGGAGCCTCTGGTGACAGCCCTGGGGCCGTCAACCTGTCCCGTGAAGCCATGATTGCTATCATCGTCGTCGTCTCTGTTGTTGGCGCCCTCGGAAGTACGTAACAATCCATGCAAGAAAAACCAAAACACCATTTCCTTCAAAACCCCCATTCGCTAACCGGGCCCTTAATTGTACAGTTGGCATGGCCGTTCTCTTCTACGTTGCCAAGAAGCGAGAATGGAAGATCAGAGAGACCATGCGCAAGTCCGCCAGAAAGGTCGTCACCGCTCTCACGCCGCGGAGGACCGAGTTCCCCAGATCAGTCAAGGAGTCTTCGTCTCCGCCACGCAGCCACCGTGGACGGGCGAGGCTTGACGACGTTCCGCCTACGCCCAGACTCCGCCCGGAAGATCTCGAAAAGGGCCTCAAGGAAGCAGAGTCGAAGCGCAAGTTGATGAGGTGGGGCCGCAAGTAGGCGAATGTGAGAGGAAACTCAGGGTATGGGAGGGATGACGGCCGCCAACTGGCTTGGTGCTGGTGTAATGGTTCATCTGCTGAGGCGGTCGAGACTGGATGACTGACGAACTTGGATCTGCGTAGCGTATAGAGTCCTTTTTCTTGTACCATTATTATGCCCTTTGAAAATACATAGCGCTTGTCCTTAAAGTCTTCGGAATGTGTTTGAGCTGGCGCTTCTTCTTGCGTTGTTCTTGTGGTCGCGCGGCCGGGAATCGTCGTGAGTGTCCACAGGGCCTCCGTTCTTCTTCTTCCCTTGGGGAACGAATGTGACCGCCTTTTCGCCGTAGACATTCCCACGATGCGTCTTGCTGATGCGGCCGGACTTTTGCACCCGGGCGCCCAAAGCAGTGTCGCGCTCCTGGCCCTTCTGGTTGGAAGACGAGATCTTCATCTGGTACTCCTGTGTAGCCTTCTTACCCAGACCCTTGGGGCCCTGATCCACAACAGGCTGGGCAGCAGCGCTGACACCAACCTCGTGAGTATCCTTTGCGGCGACCTTGGTGCTGGGGTTGAGAGCACGGAACTCGTAGGTGGACTCGTCGACGGCGAAGGCGTCGTCCTCGAACATCTTGGCGAAACGATCGTCGCCGAGCAGGCCGGCCTTTTCGTCGACAACCTCTCTGTTCTCCTGTTTCTTGAGAAGCTTGTCGGCAAGCTTCTGGTTGACCTTGACCTTCTTGTTGCCTCTGATTCTGCTGGCGCGCTCCTTTTCGACCTTCTCCTTGATGCGCTTCGTCCTCTCCTCCTCCCAAACGTACGGGTTGGCGATGAGGCGTGCCTGTTCGTAGAGTTTCGATGCAACGAAGTAACCGTGCATGTACGGACGGAGCAGGTTTGTCTTGCCAATAAGGTGCTCCATGCTCAACTGTCTGAGCTCGGGCAGCGTCAAGAACTTGTAGTTGTCGTATGTCTCGGTGCGGACCTCTTCTGCCATCTCTTCGACCATGTTGTCGAGGAAAGAGCACCATCGTGGTGCAGGGCCGAGACTGGGAATGAAGAAGGAGTGTTGAGACTTGCCTTCGTTGGCAGTCAGAAGCATACCGGTATCCTTGCACCAAGCGCTGGTTTCTGATTAGTGAGAATTCAAAGGAAAAAGATTGCAGTCTCGTAACTCACACATCGTTCAGGTCCACAATGGGTTCGACTGAAGTCCATGGTGTACCATCCGTCTCGTCCCAAATCTTGATGATCTTCTTATCGGCAGACAAAATCTTCTTTTCTTGAGAAGCTGTTGTCATGTGGATGAGCTTCTTGATCGGGAAGCCGTATCCTTGGTCCTTGGTCAAGAGAGGGACTGGGCGACGGAGATCGAACAGCTGAACCATGCCCGTCTCGGAACCAGTGGCAATGGACAGCCCCGACGTGCTGAAGTCCAAGGCAGTGATGCCACCCTCTTGGCAGCCTAGACGCGCGACTCTGGACTTGGATCTCGGGTCCCAGAATTCCACCGTGCCAATAGAGGTTCCAAAAGCTGCAAGGCCATGGGAGCCTTCGGCCAACGCCGCAGCGTTGACACTTCCGGCATCAATACTCCCTTGGAGGCCAGCTCCCTCCTCATCACCGCCGACATCGATCTGGAAAGACTTCATGAACCTGCCAATCTCCAGGTTCAAGCGGAAGACTTCACCCATGCGATCCTGGTCGACTCCCACGGCTGGTACGAGTGCTTCGGTTGACTGCCGATCGTAGAGCAAGTCTCTGCCGTAACGGGGTATGCGAATCTTGTAATGGCAGCCCATCGGGGTGTGAAACTCGAGTTGTCGGTCATCCTGGAGGAGTAGAGTCTTGGAGTAGTCGGAGGAGAGGATCGTCAACTTCTCAGTAAGAGAATTCGTGTGGCGCGCAAACGACAGAGACAGTTGTGGGAGGTTGTGAACGTGAATCTGAGGCTTGTATGTTCCTGCACTGACAGCCCAGTCACCATCTTCACTGACGCGAATGCAGGTGCTGGCTTCCTCGAATTCGAAATCTTGGAGAAGCTCGACTCGGCTCTGGTACTCCGCGTCGTTCTTGAGCGATCGCTTTCTTCGTCTGGCCAGCCAATCCGGCAGAGGTCTGGCAGTCGATGCACCGGAAACGGTGTAGACCGGAATAGTTCCTGGGTTCGTCAACTTCATCGTGTTTGTCGGAGACCGCTGGTGGAAATTGTACGGGCGGGTGCTTCGCGACAATGCGACTAGGTGTGAAGGAATTGCGGCCGAGGGGACTTTTTTTTTTCTTGCCCAAAAGTTCCGATTAGATAAGAGTCCCCGGCTGGCTGGTGGGGGGCCGTCACCTTGGCTGGAGCAAGGAAGGTCTCGGTGAGGCGAGGATTAGCTAACTCCTTTCCGACTTCCAAACTGCCCCACTACTTTGCGTTAGCTGCCCAGGGACTTTGGTTGATTTCATTGGTTGAAGCATCACCCGCTGATTCCCAGCAGGACCCTATTAGTGCATTCAGCCGCGTGAATCTGGGCTGTCTGCGTGTCAACGACAGTGCTGGATTTCCGGCGGTTTACCGACCCAACCAGGCTTGAACGTTGACAAAGTGATCAAAGCGATACATCAGCTCTTCGACGACGAATCCAACAAATTCCGAACACAAACGACATCCAAGCGTCTAGTATCGCACAATCAGTTGGCAACATAGTTCGTTTCGAATACGCTTGATAATCCCGTAACGGTGTTGGACTCGGTTGATGCCGAGAAGCCGGTCCATTGGTCGCGCTTTCGACCTACGGAGATGGAGTCGATGACTTCGCGAATTCAACCAAACAACAGTATCAAAACCTCTTACAGTCGCATAGCGAATTCCAACCGATGCCGTAACGAATCATTACTTTTATGACTGCCGGCCTACAGCTTTGAACCGGCTCCTGCGGCCCCTGGGAGCTTTAGCGACCGAGAGTTGATGTTGCGACACGGAACACATCCCGCCGTCGCGAGACTCGACCGTCGACATGGACACGAGCGAATACGATACTAATACTCTATTAAATGTTCGTACTGGCCGTTGGAATATGTGGATTGCAATCACTGATAACAGCTTGCTGCCAGAATAACATATCTACCATCAATTACCGAGTCTACGAGCCCTCTCCTGAACAGGCGTCAAGCTTTCCTTCAATCGCCGCCGATGTCGAGACCGAACTGAGAACCCTCAACCACATTGTGTACTACGATGCGAACAGACGGGTTGTGTGGTATTTCCACATTCCGGGCAAGGATGTGGAGTCTGGCAACGATAACCCAAGGGTTTTGGACAGTAGTGTGAGCGTCGTGGGCGCAACATTGCTGATGGTTGACGAAGGTTCTTTTGAACCAATAAGTCTGTTCAAGGGTCGCGCTCAAGGACAGCAAGCCTCGAATACACCAACAAGCTCGTCGTCAAGTAACTCGGCCCTCGACCTATCATTACGGAACCCGCAGATGGGCAACTCCGGACCGCCAAGCTCCTCCGATCCCGACTCCAAACCCCCGTCAGCCGGCGCACTCGATTCCAAGGGCACTGGCTCTGTTCCCATAAAAGAGGCATACGAGCAATTTATCACGGCCGTTCTGTCAACAACGTCAGCATCATTTTGCAACCGCGTATCAGCAATCCCCCTGAATCATCGAACCGTCTTGCTTCCTTCCAAGGTTACACGAGACGGTCAGACCGAGAGAGCTCAGGACACGGAGTCTGCAGTCGTGGGAACATTCCGCGTATACCTTACCACGACGGGCGCACTAGTCATAAGTTTATCTTTATCCTGTTGCGAGGGTCTCTTGTCTGTGAATGAACCATCAAGTCCGAGCCAACTTGCACTAGGCTCTCAGATATTGGCTGCCCCTTTCGGCGTTCTAGCGAACTACCAAGGGTTTGTCGGCGGAGGCCTGTCGTACCCCGAACTTGGTCTGGGACAGACACCGGATGCCCAGCTTTGGAGGAATGCGGACGCTAGATCCTCACAATGGAGAGAAACCTGCATCAAAATCCTTCAGTCCCGTGGGCTGTCTCCTGCGTTACTACAGTCATGTCCATGGATCGCATTACAGATGCTCCGCCGGAAACCTGGCGAGTCTAAAGCTGAAGGGAAATCGACGCCATTATTGTCCGCTGTGGCTACGGTATCTTGGCCAGCAGTCCTCTGTTTCCGCAAGAAGTCCGTCACGCTCGCGCGAAGTAACGGCCTGGGAGATTCTGTACTTTTGGCGCAAGATGAGACTTCTGACTTCCTTAATGAGGCCAGAACCTGGTTTCAGCTGGGCGTAGACAGGGACGAAAAAGTCACCAAGAGGAAGAAAGAGAGGGAAGCTGCGGCATCAAAGGAGGCTTCGGCAGCAGCTTCGTCACACCAACCAAACGGACATTCACCACTAGGACTAAGACGAGCTAGCAATGCGGCAGCTGCAGGTGCCATGTATCCAACACCACCAGACGGAGTTCAGAATCCCCTCGGTATCACGCCTTCGATGGACGGGACGACCTCTAGCCCAGGAGCCCCTGGAGTCACCATGGCAGTTGTTGACATAGATACTACCATGACAGATGCTACTGTACACGACGCAACCACGATGCACGGCACGCTACAACATGATTCCTACGCCGACGGTTGGCACTCGAACGAGCATGCAAACGAACACGCGAATGAGCATTCCAACGAAAATGGCAAAGGTCGAGCGGACTCCTTTACTGGGGGAGACAACGATGATAATTTGTTTGGCGACATGGGCCCGGACATGTTTGGGGATACCGACATTACTGATGCCGACTTCAACTTCTTCGACGAAGAAGGCGATGACCTCGACCTATCTGGCTTACCTGACTTGGGCATGCCTGACGGACCACCGATGCCTGCTGTCCTCCCAGTACCTATGCCTGAGCCGGCAAAACCGCTGCCTCCTCCGGTAGAGGATACTAAGCCTAGACCAAGTCCTCCAATTTTCACCAAGCCGGAGTTGAAGCATGCGCGGAGCACATTGATGGACGAAGGA